TCCAATCTCATCACACACCAAACCAGAGCAAGAGTAGTACTGTTCTAAGAGTGAGCAACTTCCAACACCAGTGTGAAATGGCTTCCAAAGGTGCTCTTATGTTGTGTCTCAACATCCTCTTTTTCACTGTGGTTAGCTCCACATATGTGCCATGCAATCCACCCCCCAAAGTTCCCAAACACCCACCTGTCCCAAAGCCACCTTCCACAAAGTATGGTAGTTGCCCTGAGAACACTCTGAAGTTTGGTGTGTGCGCTAATGTGTTAGGTTTGATCGGTGTGGAACTTGGGAAGCCACCAAAGACCCCATGCTGCCAACTCATTGAGGGTCTGGCTGATCTTGAAGCTGCTGTGTGCCTTTGCACTGCTCTCAAAGCTAATGTGTTGGGCATCAACCTCAATGTTCCCGTCAAGTTGAACTTGCTACTCAACTACTGTGGAAAGAAAATTCCTAAGGATTTCGTTTGCTATTAAGCAATCACTTCTTAGAAACAGTTTCATAATGTTCATTAGTATGTCTTAAAGGTTCTATATTTTGCTATATTCGTTATTCATCACTCCTCTGTGTACTTTGGAATTCTGTCTGGTGCATGCCATTTAGCCAACGAACATTTCGTTCGTATTAGCTTGGTTGTTATTATCATTATTTTTATTTATCGTTGTAATGGTTGAAGCTTGGAAGCTCCTTAGGCTTCCTGGTCAAACACACTAGTTATTTTGTATTCTACGTGATATTTCTACTAATAAAAATTTTACATTTAAGCTTATAAGATACATTATTTTCCTCCATCGATCTTTTATTCTCCCCCTCTTTCCTGATTTGCATTTGAGCATTGAAGCTTAGGAATCGGCTGTAGAACTCTAATAAGGGACAGATCGTCTGTGAGTAAAATTAATTTTTAATTCATACTTTCTTTTCTAAATCGAATCCATAGAAAGTTTGAAATGGAAGATTTTTTCAATTATCTTTCGCGTAGAGAGAGATCGAAAGAGTACTAGAGAAAGGAATCTCATAGGATTTTCACTTTCGTTGAAGCTAAACAGAACTAGGATTTGTCACTTTTTCTTGAGAAGCCAAAGATAAATACAGTCATGATAAAAGTGCAGCACAAGATGTGCCCAACTTAATGTTAGCAAAGTAGGTAAATTTTGAATACAATAGATTGTATCTTTTTTTTTTAATGTTGTTGGGAAATATAGATTCTAAGCTTAATGAGTCTTTTGAATAGAAAAATGGTGAAAGACATACCTATGTATAGGAGTTTGAACGTGGTTGAGACTCAGTGTGCCCAAACACAATTATTATTTATTTGTTTGTTTTGAAATTTTGTTTTTCAAATTGTCATTTGACACTACCTGCTTGACCTTGTTACATGTATAGTCATATTATTAAGCGACCAAGACATAGTAAATATATATAACAAGCTAATATAAATTCCTGCTACAGGTATATGGTAAAATCCTGCTCCACTATCATATCATAATAGAAACATGACAACACATTACATAACAAGATTATATAAAATAACAAGACAAATGAATGATTTTGATTAGTCACTATTCTTTATTTAACAACCTTTATCTCCCTCGTATCTAAATAATTTTTATTTTTTACTTCATTTTATTCATGAAGATCATTCTTCACCAAATAGCATTTCTATATTTTTGCTATGGAATATATATATAAACTGTGTTGATCACCAGTTGAAAATTTTGTTTGATTAACTTAGATTACTCATCTCAATCATGTTTTTATCAACAAAATTTGAATTTAAGATCTTATTATTTAAGAATTAAATTCAATTCTATCCCAACTAATTATTAACTGATTATCAATTATATATTTTGACCATATGACACTGATTCAAATTCTATTAGGCTAAGATGTTTAAAGAAATCCTTAATCACACCACTTTATTATAGGAAAGATAAGATTATGAATGCTACTTTAGTACTTTATTTATATATATATATATATATATATATATATATATATATATATATAGATTAAAATTAATTAAAATAATATAGACAATATTTCTTTAATTAGATATCTGAGATTAATTTCCCTCACCTCTCCCATTTTTAGTACAGACATCTACAGGAATTAGTCACAATACGAATTATTATGACTTGTACAAATAGTAGGAAGTCTCTAATGCTTGGTAAAAAAAGTGGTGAGTACAAAGTAATTAGTATAGGGAAATAAATATAAAATAGTATTTTCATTATTCACTAATAAGAAAAGTGAAAAAAAATATTTTTCATTATAAATATATATTTATTTGTCACTCATATACAATAGAAAGTGTAGAAAAAATAAGAAAAATATTATTTTATTCAATTATCCTTATTTAAATAAATTATTATTCATTTTATGATTATATTTTAACTAATATATATATATATATATATATATATATATATTAATTTTTAATCATTATTTTAAATAATAATAAAATTATTAAATATGAAAGGCATTATAAAAATATTTTTTAACATGATATTATTTTATTAATTTAATATCAAAAGTTTTAGAAAATATATAATTTTATAATTATATACCAAAGTATATATTATTAAAAAATAAATATTAATTTAAAGATATTAATTCAAAAATTATTTCATAAAAAAATTAATATATGGATATTTATGTAATTGAATATATATTTATGTAATTGAATATATAAAAAAATTACTCTTTTTTTTAATGTATATTACGGGTTTAGTTTTTAAATATATGAAAAAAAATAACAAATGTAATTTATTCTATGTATATTATTTCATTTAAGTGGTTATTAACAACCTATCGACGAGTCAAATTGTATACTAAATAAAATAAACATCGATATATGATATAAAATACTAATAAATGATAATTTTATAAATAATTATCATTTCTTAGTTATGATTTTCCTTTCTTTAATATTTAAATTAATAATATAATTCATATTTTTTTACACATGTAAAATTGACTAACTTTTTTATACATATTTCTAGGTTTAAAAAATACTTTTAAATGCATGTAAACCTGAAAAAAATATAATTATATTAATTAATTTTTTTATAAATTATACTTTTATTTTTTTATATTTATTATAGAGAGAAAATAATAAACTATTAAGAATTATTTTATATATAAAATATTAAGATACTAGGATATTAACAAATAAAAACTAACAAATTTATTAAAAAGAATAATATTTAATATTTATTTTAATATATGTAATTGAACCTGAAATGTCATATTTTAAGTCTTAAATTGCGGGTCCAATTTTTTTAGATGATAATATCATCCAGTAGGAGTAAAGAAAAATAAAATAAAAATCATAGTATTAAATTACTGTAAGAGTGGCATAGTAGCAATCAATGCATGTTTAGAAGCGTTATGATTTTAAGCCTGCCAATTTAAATTAGGGTGGTTTTGATTCAGTGGCAGGATAATTTTGATTTTAGCTTTTAAAATTTAAAATATCAAAATTAGTAAAATATATTTTCTATTTCTAATTGCCATTAATAGTATTTATATATATCTGCAACTAATTATACTTCATTATCTAACTCATTATATAAAGTTATTGATTTTTTTTATTTTTTATCATATCCAATATTACCATTTAAAACAGCTTTTAAATTATAATTATTAAATATATTTTTTATTATTTTTTTAAAATATTTTTTCGTAATTAATCTCTAAAATTATCTTTTAAACTAATCAAATAAATTTAAATCAGGCAATCTCTTCATCTTTCTGATGAACTTAAAATTTAAATTTCTTAAGAGATATATTCATATTTAATACTTCACGTATACAGTGTCTTCAGAGGTAATTTATTAAATACAGAGAAATAAGGTATCTAAATCCGTTTTGTTTTTTTAGTGAATAAATATTAATAATAAAGTGAATATTTCAAAATTAAAATATTAAGTTGGTATAAATATATTTTAGTCTTTTAAATTTGCACATTGTCTAGAGTTTATGTACTTGAATTGTAGTTCTTAGAATTTAAAATATGTTTGTATTAGTTATTTTAGATATCGTCAAAGACTTCAATAATGTAATTACGTACTAATTACAATTTTTTTAAATGACAACTTATTTTAATTTTATATTCCTATAACTAATATGTGGTTATTTTATAGTATTTATCTTCATATCATTAAGTATATAGGATGCTTTAAAAAAATGAATTTTTTATTTATAGGAGCAATGGATTTGAAATTTAAGGAAAAATAATTGAACTGAAATTTAAATAATAAAAATATACTTAAGCCTGGTAAATAGTACCTCCCGAGTGGAATGTGTTAGAAGTTATCAGAAACAGTGTGGTAGGTGTCGCGACTCTGAACCACCATCAGCAACTTCAGTCCGCGTGTCCTTCACTAACCATGGACTTGGATAGTCATTAAATTACTTACGATAATTACTGATAAGAATTCCTTTAGTTAGAGTCAACTACTTTGACGGTTACTTTTGTATAATTGTGTGTATAAAATAAGACGTCACTGTATATCATTCTTGTGATCCATTCCTTTTTTTCTCCCTTTCTTCGTGACATATTCAGAGTTCTGGCATATAAATCAGAGAGGCCGAATATTGCAAATTATGTAAAAAATACAATGGAAATCTGTGAGACTACACACAGGTTTCAGCACTCGAACCAGTTCACGGATTGTACTGAACAAGTCACGGAGTCACTCTCGAAATCAGAGAACCCCCAAACAAAACTCCAAAAATTTCAATTACCTCTCTCTCTCGCTCTGTCACTTTGAAGAAGCCTCCGTGGCTGATGTTTCACGTACATGCTGCCACATGTAATATTCACCAGCACCAGGTTCTTTTTTTTTTTTTTTTTCAGATTAAGTTCACGAACCCATGTATATATATATATATATATATATATATATATATATATATATATATATATATATATATACACTGCATGAAATATCAAACCCATATAGAGAAAAACAAGAAGAAGAATTTAGAACCCCAAAGTCATGATGTCTCCAAAATCAAAAGCTAAAGCTATGTTCTTCATCTTGAAAATAATAATGTTAAATGCTTTACCACCAATATATGCATGTGGTCCCTGCACTCCGCCAGGTCACCCCAAGCACCCACCGCATCACGGCGGAGGACACCCGAAAGTGTCCCCTCCTATGTCGCCGATCATAATCAACCCTCCGGTGGTGCCCCCACCGGTGGTGATTTACCCTCCACCAAGCACACCACCGTACTCGCCTCCGCATCGGACTTGCCCAATTGATGCCCTAAAATTGGGACTTTGCTTGGACGTGCTTGGAGGATTGGTGCACGTGGGAATAGGGAACCCAGTGGAGAATGTGTGCTGCCCCCTTATACAAGGGTTGCTTGACCTTGAAGCTGCAATTTGTCTTTGCACCGTAATTAGGGCTAAGCTTCTGAACCTCAATATCTTCCTACCTCTTGCACTTCAAGTTTTGATCACTTGTGGGAAGACTCCTCCTCCTGGTTTTGTTTGTCCACCTCTATACTGAACCACTGCATGTATGCATGCACTACTTCATGCCACTCCATCCTTAATATTATCATCGCTAGTTCTTGTTAGTAGTATTATTAATACATACATGTGAGTGTGTCTTTTTCCCTTCTATTAGGGTTTATGTAATAACTCGTATTATAGTGCGCATGTTTAACTGTTAAGTTTTCCTGTTACGAGTTAGGGGTTCCGGTTAATTTCTTTGCTACAAAGTCCATTTTCATGTACGGTGCTTCATCTATTTTCTCCTTCTATCCGTCTCTCAGTACGTACACGTACTGACAGGGTTTACGTTGTCAATTGGGAAACATCTATAGTGTTTTTTTGCTGTATTTTTTTTTTTTTTTAATCTTAGTATTTGTCAGATGAGATAGTTAATAACATATGTGTTAACAATTTTTCTTTTTTTTGAACGCAACTCTTACAGTTTCTAAATTTTTGCTCCAAACTGTAAGATTTAATTATGCTAGTTTTTAGAATTTTTTTTAATTCTACAAGTTTTGTTTTAGTTATTATTCTAAATTCAAATTTTTAAATTTTAATAGATTAAAAACAGTTTTTTTTTTGGAATCCACATTACATTTTATCCAAAATTAGGAATAAAAAATACTACTAATCTAAATTTTAGGAATTAAAAATATAATTAAATTAAAATTAAAATTTATGGAAATTTTAATTAGGATATTAGGAAGAAACCTACTCTCTACGTATTATTTTATTCTCATTATTGTTAAAAAATTTTCATTCTGGAACTTTTCTTCTATGTCTATTCTTCTTCTCTATATTGTATTTTTATAAGTAGATCTTGATAACCCGTCGAAATCCACTTGTCGACAACTACATCAATTAAAATGATAACTTGACTAAAATAAAAAATGTAATATCATATATCTCATAATTGAGTCATTGAGATTTATTAAATAAAAAATCAATCTAAATTTACTATACTTCCTACTCAATTCCAATCCCTTTCTCTAATAATTTCAATTAATAGAAGAGAACTTCTTAAAACAGTATCTTAAAAGTGTTGGTCAAATTTCTCTTCCATTTCAATTAATATTACAAGAGACAGTTTTAAAAGATATGGTAAAAAGTATGTTAAAAAATGCCATTAACATTTCTTTCCGTGAGATTTACAGTTTGTCTCGAGTGTGACAAATAATTATATTTAGCATAGCCGCTAACACTATTCTAGAAAAAATATGTAACAGAAAAAAAAATACGAAAAGTAGTGAGGAATTGAATGAATATTTTTAGAAGATACATTAGAAAATAGTATTGATATATATTATCATAAAATTCTTTTAAATATCTTAGAAACTTTCTTAATATCATATTGGGATGAGGATTATATATATATATATATATATATATATATATATATATATATATATATATATATATATATATATATATAAAAGTAGAACGATCTATGTTATTATTTGAAGAAAATGTTTTATTTAAATTAAATGAAGTTTGTAGATGTGTTTTGAAGTTATGAGGGTTAAGGTGAAAGACATATATCAATAGAATGATTTATTTCAAATATTTGGAGAAATGGTTATTTTTAAATTACATTAAGTATTTGTAGGTATGTTAGAGATAATAATAATAATATTAGGGTAAATGTGATATATTAGAAGAGTAATGATTTATGGTTGTTCTGTAGTACAAATTTAAAGGTTAAATGAATTGTTCTATTTTCAGACGAATAACTATTGTTAACTTTGTCACTTTTGTATTTTGAAGTAAAATAAAAGACAAATATCTATAATATATATATATATATATATAAACACAAATGATTTTATATTATTATCAATATTTAACAACATATATCTTTAATGCATGTTTTAAAATTAAGATAAATACATTCGCCTAGGATCACATTTCGTTATTTGAATAAATAAATTAATAGTAAATATATTACTAACAAATTTAGAAATGCATTGAAAGAAAGAGTTGAGAAAAATATTAAAGCTTTTTAAACGAGAAATGATAATAAAAAAAGGAAATCAATGTCAAAAGTAAAAAATTGAAAGGGTAAAATTCGAGATAGAAAGAAGGATGAAAATCAATCATTCTTGAAAATTGAGAATAGAAGTAATGAAGAGATGAGTTAAGAAGTGTATAATTTAAAAAAAAAAACAATGAATTGAAATAAATCGAAAAATATAATAAAAAATAAAGTTAACGGTCAAAAGAGTATCGAAAAGATAAAATATCAAGAATTTATAGAAAAAATACGGAAAAATAAGGAGACAACATAATCAAACAAAAAATCACAATTTAATAAGAGATCGATAAATATATTGATGAAGACAAATAATGTTATCAAATATGGGACGAAGACTAAGAAAAATAAAAAAAGAAATTAAAGAGATGATGATAAAGATTTGTTGAGATAAAAAACTTAAAAAAATCAAAAATTTGAAATTGAAGCCTTTAGAGATGTTGACAAACAAATTATGCTAGTCGAGAGATATTTATCCAAAAAAAAAAGATCAAAAAGGAATAATACAATCAAAATATATGCAAAAGCGATTTTAGCTCTATTATCCGACAAATAAGTAGTTTAAAACGATAAAAAAAAGTAAATATTTTATTTTATTTTATATTTTATTTTAATTTTACTTGTAAATAAGGTAAAAATAAGTATAATCGGAATAATTGTCAAATTATATATAATGACTAATATTATGAAAAACATTATAGAATAACATTTTTAATTAAATTCTTTACCATTTGAATCATTTTCTTGGTATATTTTTTTTACAAATTTCTGTTTTATTATTAGTAATGGCTTATAATTAATTTTTATAATATTTTAATCTACAATTTACTTTTCTTACAAATTTCTGTTTTATTATTAGTAATGGCTTATAATTAATTTTTATAATTTATTTTAATTTACAATTTACTTTTCTTACGTATTTATTTTCTTATACTTTGAAAGGATGAAATATATATTAAAATTTCAAATTTTTTACAATAAATCATTGATAAAAATTTACATTATATTCATTATTGATTGATCAATAAAAATAAATAAAAAAATTATTTAGATCGAAAAGTACTTACATTTATTAGTCAATAATTAAAAGAATTTACGTAATAACTAAAGTGTTCGTCACAAAGCTTAAATCAATTCTATTAGAAACAAATCATAAAAAATAAAAATATTTAGCAAATCATGATATAATAAATCAGGATAATGTTTACAAATAATATTATCTGAACAGAAATATTTTAAAATTAATATTTTAAGATCAATATACTTTTACCACATTAAATTAACACATGAGAGTTTTAGCTAGTAATTATGTTTTCTCTCAACAATCATGTTATTTGTTCAGGTATATATAGTATAAAATATTTTATTCATTATTCATTTTTAATTATTAAAAATTACTCATACTAAATTCAGTTTCATTATCGCTTTTTTAATTTTAAAATTACAAAATAAAATTCTTTTAAAATGTTGATATTTCAAATTTTAATTTTAAAAAAATTCAACTGTATAGTTAATAATAATTTATAATTGTAAGAAGATAATAATGTGATATAAATTTGTAATATTAAGAAAAGGAAATTTATTTATTTTTATCACATTTAAAACAAGTAATATAAAAGAGATTTTATAAGCCAAATACAAGTGTCACATTGATTAAATTTGTAATAGTTAAGAAAAGGAAATTTATTTTTTTATCACATTTACAATTGATTTAAAATATGACATAAATAATAATATTAACTTTCTAAACTATTATCATATAAATTAACACTACGTATAAGACATTATACTTACTGTTTTTTCATTAGTAATGATTGTAAGCATTACAAAAATATAGTATGTTGTTTATATTAAATACATGTCTAATTTATTTTATTTGTTAGATGTTGGGATTTTTATAATAATGAACTGATCTTAAATTTTTGAAAAATAGGTTAATATAAGTAAAATTTTTATATTTTAAATTGAATTAGAACACTTTTTACTCGTTTAGATATAACTTAATTAAGTCCAGATAAGGTTAGTCTATTGGTCATAAAACAATAATTTTTGAACAAAAATAAAATTATTGTATTATATAATATATATATATATATATATATATTATAAAATTATTATTTGATAAAAGATCCACTTAAAATGTAGGTTTATGATTAACTCTATAATCCATTAATGATTAAAATAAATTATTAACAAAATAAATGATGATATTGAAAAATAAATATTTAATTTTTATTTTTGAAATAAATAGATTATTTATCTTGTAATTTAATATTAAATTATTATATTTAAAAAAAGTAATTTTATTAATATAATTTAAATTTTAAAAATATATTTTATTTTTATTTAAAAATATTTTTTTAATTATTTTATTTTATATTGATACATTTTCTTTATTACCAAGCAAATAAAAAATAATTTATTAACATATTGGTCAATATAAGATTAAATTAATCTAAAATTTATGGTTGATTTTAAAATATAGATTAGATTAAACCTTAAATTTGTTTCACATAGTCCATAGAATCAGATCAAGTCAAATATCATTTTTAATAATTAGATTACTACTCCTAACCTAATGAATATTATTCGGATTTCTCTCTTATATTGATGACTATTACAATTTAAGTATTTTTTTTATTATGAAACCTATAGATTTTTCTTTAGATTTATCAGAGATCATTTGGTAATAAGGAAAAAAAATTGTAAAGAAATAAAAGAAAATAAAAAGTTATGAAAATAAAAATAAAAAATATACTTATTTATTTTGAGAAAAAAGTGATATGAAAAGGAAAAAAAAGTGTTCATTTAAAAAAAAAATATTTAATTACACAATTACTCATATATTTAGTAATTAATTTTTTTAATGAAATAACCTTCTAACTCAATATTAATAGATTTTTTTAATAATATATATATATATATATATATATATATTTATATATTGACATATATTTAAAAAAAAATTATTATAAAATTATATTTTTTTCTAAAAAAATATTTAAAATTAAATTAATAAATAATATCACATTAAAAAAATAAAAAAATATATTAAATTATTCTTTTGGTTTTCAAAGCCGTTTTCATATTTATTATATTGGGTAAAATATGTTTTTCATTTAATGACTATCAAATAATTAGTTTTATGTTACACACATAATTATCTAAAAACATTTATGAAAATAATTCTTTGAAATATTGCTCAAAATTTATTCAAAAAAAACTTCATAAACATGATTTTGATGACATATATACTATTAGTCATAATTTTCTATCAAATAAAACTTTCCCAACATTAAAATCATATTTATTAATATTCACATCACTTAATATCATATAACACAAATTTAACTATTTTTTAATAATACTGATTAAAAAATTAATAAAATAATTTAAATTATATGCAAGTCAGAAAAAAAATTTATTGGTACTACACATAAATATTTATTATAATTATTGTATAAAAAACTTAATTTAGCCTATAACATTCGATCAAAATATTAGACACACACATACACACACACATATATATATATATATATATATATATATATATATATATATATATATATATATATATATATATATATATATTATTTTAAAATTATAAAATATTACTAATAATTTATTTGAGTTGGAATAATTTGATAAAATATGATTTTTTATTCCTTTTTCACTCATATAAATGAAAAATAAAACATATACGGTACAATAAAAAAAATTAATTTTTTTAGCACTTTCCTTATAACCAAATAAAGAAAATACTACTTACTTACTTGTCACTTTTTTACTCTCTACTTCCTTGTAAATGAAAAAACTCTTAATGAAAATGTGGCTTTTGATACCTCTAGGTTAATTTCTATTTTAGAAAAATCGATCAACACCTTGATTTCTCATTCTTATTTTTATTTTTTGTTTTTATGAATAATATATTAAAAGAAACATTTATTTTCGAACTTTTAAATATCATGGTGGTCGAAGTGCAAAAGCTTATTACATTTTCACGTGAATTGTCTAGTAAATTCTTTGTGGTTTCATTGGTGGAATATTGCGAAAGAGATGGGTATAGCGTGGAATGATTAGCTTTGTAAGAAGTGGGACAAGTAAGGGAAAAGGAAATCCACTCGTCCGACATATTTTCTTGAGTGAGAGCGTATTTTTTCCATTTTTCTGGTTTGTCCACGTTGCATGTCACGGGACAAATAGTGCTCCCATGATTGAAAAGCTAGTTGTCATGGACTTCAATAAAAGTGATATATAATATTCCCATACAACAACGCAACCATGTTTCACTTTAATTAATCTGCATCATGATGTCATGAAGATAATTTATACGAAATAATTATAACTTAAGACGTGTGATTTATGAATTCCACACAGAAATTTCCATTGGAGTATTTATAGATGCTCTCAGGAGGAGTTTCTGAACTTTTTTTAATCATGAACTTGTCACGTCTCTCATCTGATGAGTCTTGTATGAGATGTTTGAGTTTCATTCGCACATGTAATCTAATTAGGTATGTGATTGAAAGTCTTGTAAATTGTAATGATGGTGTTTGAAAATTACCCGAGTGTTTGATATATGTAAGGGAGGATGAATTTGTGTTTTTTTTTTAATTTATTTTATCTGTAAATATTAATTATTAATATATTATTGTTGTTTTGATCACAACCTATCATATCTTTCTTTAATTCTCTTCAAATTTTACTACAACCTAATTTACTAAATACCCGAGACTTCGATCTTGATTCTTACTGAAACAAATATAAAAACACAAAACTTTTTATAAATACTAAAAAATCGATATCACAAAATATATTTATTTATTTACTGATTATGTAATTTCAGAAATTCTCTTTGAAATTAGAAAAAAAAATCAAAATCTTGCTTACTCAACTGATTTAGTTGGAATAGTTATACCTTTTAGATTTTTAAAAGAGTGGTGATATTTTGACAACCAGAAACCATACAAACTTTTTAAACAACTTACTTTTATTAATATAATAATCTATAAAATGATTTAATAAAAATAAAAACAAAGAAAAATTATTATTATAATATTAAAAGAGAGTTGTTTATAGGAGTTATACAGATTTAAGTTGTCAAAGTATCATTTTCCTTTTTAAAATAGTTTGACTATTAAATTTTGATGGCTAAATTATAAGGAATATATATATATATCTTGAGCAAGTTGAGGTAATGTTCTTCGATTTTGTATTGTATTTTTCGAGAAACTTCCATTAAAAATAAGTGAGACAACAGATGTATACAATATTTTTGTGTTAATTCGTCTACTAATATAACTCAAATTATAGCAAAACAATAATTCAGTTTGTAGTTAGAGCTGTTAAATCTCCCATTCGATCTATTATTAACAATAATTATTGTTTTGATAACTTATATGTAAGTCCAAGGAAAAAAATACATACAAGATGCGCAATGGTATGCAATCATTTTTTTTTTATGAGCAACGTAATTATATATTTGATAATTCACTACTTATAGTTAATTTCTCCCCCCAGCACCTTCAACAGATACTTGATTATGTCATCTGGTAGTTACAGCCATTAGATGTAACATATTAAATACAGAGTATTTTTTTTTTTTTTTTTGCTTTCTGTTCTTTTTCTGAATTTGTTTTTATCTTGTTGGGGGCATTGGACACGAGTTCATCGAAAAGGACAAGTAACTTGGTTAAGAAAAGACAAAAAAGAAAAGGTAGAGATAGATGAAGAAGGATTATTTGTAATATAATAATAATAATAATAATAATAATAATAATAATAATAATAATAATAATAATAATAATAATAATAATAATAATCATCTTTCAACCAAATAAGTAACACACTGTTCATCATCTTTAGTTCCCTAGCTAGCTATTTACATGAGCCAGCATCGAGAACTTTATAATTATAGCAGCAACACTCTAACCATACAATAATAAAACACTTAAAGAAAGGAATAACGAGGATGAAGAAGTGAACCCTCCATGCACGTAGAATTAATTAGAATCACACACTGGTTCATGGAATTTGATAAGCAACAAGAAAGAAGGAAATCCACAACTAAGAAACCCGAAGTGTAAGTAGATATAAGATGATGTGATATGTTGTGTATAGAGGCATGATTAAGCACATTGAAAATCATGTGGGACTTGTTTTGAGCAAACATTGAGAAGCAAGGAGAGGGAGATGGGAAGGTCGAGGTTGATGCCCAAAATGTTTGCTTTGAGGGCAGTGCAGAGGCACACTGCAGCCTCAAGATCGACGAGGCCCTCGAGAAGGGAGCAGCAAGGAGTAACTGGTGGTTGACCCAAAGTGGCGTTCAACAACCCGTTTAGCACATTGGCGCATACACCTAGTTTCAGTGCGTCACGGGGGCACGAGCCACTAGGTTTGGGGCTGGGTGTTGGCTTTGGGTTTGGGTTTGGACCAGGGCACGAGTAACTTCCGCATGCAGAGACAAGTGAGAAGAAAATGAGGTTGAGTGTGAGGAAAAGAGCAAGGGAGGAAGAAGCTTTGGAAGCCATATCTGTGGCTGCCTTCTGTTTCTGTTCCTAATCACTAGCAAATGCTAATGTTGTTTACTAACTGCTAGAGCTTAGGAAACGAGTGTGTGTGATGATGGATGTTATTTGGAGTGGATGGTGGTTTATATAGTGCTCATGGGGTTTCAAGAGCAAAGGGAATACGATATTCTATTTAAAAAAAATAGCAAGTTGTTCATTTGTCATGTACCATATAGGTAAAGCATAAATGCTAAAGTTAATTAAAGACATTTACAAAATTGATTTAAAAAAAAAAAATAACCTAGTACAAATGTAAATGGAGTGATTTTTGAATCAAAACGAAAAACTTATTTTGATAATCACTATTTTGATTTTGACAACTAATAAGATTAAGAATGATTATCTTGATCACGGTGTGAATGTGAGAATATTTTTAGCTGGCAGGGGAAGAGCTTAAACCAGGTTTTGGATGGTTGTGAGTGGTGAGGTAGGGACTGGCATCATCGATGGATATGGATCTCCAGGGTCACATCATTCCACACACCGTAAAATCGTTAAAATCCCCAAAATTATTCAACCGTTAACTTTTGAACGTGGAGTAGCGGGTCCCATTATAAAAATCACGACACTAATTGTGGCTGTAAATTCACCACAACCTCTCAGACAAAGTTAAGCGTTATATTTTATTTATTAACCTTTTCAATTCATAAATTTCCAATTTAAAAGATTGAAATTTTATACATGTTGTTTTAAATTGGAACTTCCAGTGTCCCGTCTGATCGATAACACCTAAAAAAATAGGTACATCCCGACAGCCTAACAAATTCTCACATTACCACTAGCGAATAGGCTAACAACTATTATCACATTTTTAACCAAATCCTCACATTGCCACCACCTAATTAACTAATAGCTATTATTAAAGTATAAATTACAAGAAAACTTATGCATAGTTTCTTAAATGCTGTTTTAAAATTGGAATTACAATTTTATTTCTATAATCATATCCACCTAACAATTTTACTTCTAAACTCAACATGTTAACATATACTATATATATATATATATATATATATATATATATATATATATATATATATATATAGTTTTATTCTTTCCTTAAAGAAGTATTCTTTCAATAAAAGTATAAATAATTAATAAATGATATTTCGGTTATTATTTCATACATGAAATGGTGTGTTCTCACTTTTAAATTATTCCCTGCATGTGGAAAACTTTTATCATGTTTGAATGCTATATCGTTATCTTAAATGATCTAAGAAAGGAGAAAACACAATTTAATAAAAGATTTACGTTTATATTAAGAGTTTCTTAATAATCTAAAGTTCAAGATACACAAGTAGATGAAACAGATAGATAGAGACCTCAAAATGAAAAATAGAGTAATAATACACGACGCCTAAAGAATAACCCGTATTTATACATCATTAACTAAGCACGTCTAAGAACATGATAACAAGCATGATCGAGCCGTATTGTTTCTGGTAAAAAGACAATGAAAGTAGCATTAAGTTGTTGAAATGGTGATGTGTGAAGATGAGAACTTAAGCTGAGGGAAGGTCGTATAACTTAGGTTTTTGGATGGTTGTGACTCGTGATGTAGGGACCAACGTTGGAAGTGAGAGTACTTGAAATTATGATATAATAAATTATCAAATTCTATTTGTTTTAAATTTGGAACTTCCATAGTTCCTTCCGATAACATGTAAAAAAAAAACAAAAAAAAGTGTATCCCACATTACCAATAGCTAATAGGCTCATCCCTATTATTACGTTTTTAATCATATCCTCACATTACCTCTAACTAATTGGGTAACAGTTTTTATTAAATTATTAATGTCAACAAAACTTAGGCTTGGTTAATTCTTTTAGTTATTTTCTCTTCCCGTTTCTTCCATGATATGCAATATATTACGTAATTAAACTCCCAATTGTATTTAACAACAAACAGATATACGGTATACGTAAAAAGAAAATATATTAGATTTTGTAAATTTTTTTTTTTTCAAAAAGAGAGAGTTATAGTATCCTTTTACTTATTTATAAATATACATTACTTTTCTTTTGCGTGATCAGATATATCATTTTCAACACAGTCATACATTTTTGTCGTTTTGATTTGCGTCATAAAAATACAAATAAACAATCAGAATTTAGATATGGAAAAAGATAATTCTTGGGAAGGTGTTGTAATGGTAACGCCAAGCGAAAGTATCCTATTTCGAGAAAAAATATATATACAATTATGTTAAAACTGATCAATTTTCAACATGAAGCATGCATCTAGGAACCTACCATAAGGTTCTGAAATTATTACAACCCTTAGATTCTTTATATATTAATTTTGTGTGAACTAGTCTGTAATTATTGACTTAAATTGTGATTGCAAATTAATGTTAATATCATGTCTAAGTTATTCACGCGTTTTGGCCCGTGGAATGTTATTAACACGTCTAAATTATATATTACGCCAAGTTTGTTGATTATTTGCCTTAACAACCGGTAATACAATTTTATTAAAACATACTCATTTCTACATTATCATTCAAATTATAATTTTTTAAGTATAGTAAATGGTTAGCTTTTTATAAAAATGATTCTAGAATTATATTTAAGGCACTTTGTAATTAATTAACATCACAATAACTTTTTACATTATCCATACGTGAAAATAAAAACTCTAACTTATTAGGGTTAAAAGGATATCCCAACCATTAAGAAAAATGTTGTGTCAGATGTCAATTAAGGTTATAAAAACAATTTAAACACACGAATGAAAAAAAGTTTATTAACGAATTATTATGGTAAATTTTATCTATTCGTTATAATAGTAGCGTGGGAATTTTTTATATGGACTAAAAATTATCATCAAGGTTATTCGAAAAAGTTTTCTGCTATAGGGCGCCAAAGTTTGTGACGAAAATTTTCTCAGTAATGTTTGACTGTAATTTATAAAGTTTTATTTTATCCACGGATTAACAATGTTTTACAGACAAACTGAAATTCATGGAAAATAATCCATCAACAAATTGATGTTTTCTTGTAATGTTTTACCTTCTGAATAATTTTTAAATGAAAGAATCCATTGATTCAACCAAGTGATCCCTCGGCTATTTTTATTTTCCTATTTTTAGCTGAATTTGTTATCACTTAGGACTATAAATAATGTATAATGCACTTTTCTTTTATAAAAAAGGTGAATGTTTTTTTTTTAATTTGTTAATATACACTTACTTTTTATTTTAAAAAAAAGTGTGTTAGCATGTATATATATAATTGTCTTAAAATATTAAAGTATATTGAAAGTACAATTTCCTAATATATTCCACTATTACTCTGTATAATTATTAAAAAATAAATTAATTTATAATACTTAAATAGTCGATATTATATTAACAATTAAATAACAAAATATGAATAATCACTACTAAAAAGTTACTTATTTTAGGTAAATTTTTTAAAAATAATTTAAATTTATTGAAGACTTTTCTTGAAATTTTTATAAAAAAATTGTAAAAATATTTTCATAAAATATGAGAATTTTTAGTAGTGAATATATAGCTTTTATTATAAATTTATAAATATTCTTGGTGACATTCGGAAACCACTTAATGATTAACATTCATAACTATAGAGATTTGTTAAAAATAATATTAGTTTGTAATATGAATCACAAGGGGTAATTTAGAATCTTTAAGGTTAGACCCTCGTAGAAAATTTAGGAATTTAGTGATAAGGTGGAAGGAAATAATCACTTTTTTCAAGGAAGACAACTCACAAAGGATGTGGAAATCCTTTGATACAGCCAAATATGCTTGAATCACTCAAGAACTTAGAAGAATCACTCTCACTAAAATAAAAGAGATAAATTCTAATATTTCTAAAAATAAAACTCAACTTATTATTTCTAGTAAAAATGGTTCAGCTTATAAAGAAGTTTTGTCATCAGAGTTACAAAAATTCACTAAAGGAAAATAAATGTTAATAATGATTTATTAACCTAGAAATTAAAAACTACTTAATAATTGATTGTAACTGAAATTGTGTCATCCAAAAGTCAATCAGTTGTGCACAGTCTCCCAAAGACTAATAACTAAATTTTCAATTGGGCCCTTATTACAACTTAAAATAAAACTAAACTAAAGTCGATTAATATATTAATCCAAAACACAAATTGGTCAACCAATAATATTTATTAATAATATTTGTTGAAGATTTTACTTTTGTTTTCATTCCTCTAACCCTTATATTAATTTTGTATTATATTCTATATTGATACAAATCACGGATACTCTCCACCCTTATCAATATTGAGATATTCAACGTAACACTACTTGAATTTGAGATTGATAATTAAGTTGAAACAATTTTGCATATGAGTGATCATGTATTTGATGCGACTTTGTGTTATATTTTAATTTTCAAATTCATAATTGATACTTGTGGCTATCCCAGTTTGACTCGTTCACTGCAACTGTTTGTTAGAAGAAGAGGAAAATCAATAAGCGAATTCAGCGCTGGACCTTTTTTATACAGTTTGGAAAAGGACATCACATAATTTATCAGCGGCAAAACGTAAATTCAAATGAACCAGACGCATTAGTCTATCATTTTGATTTGGTTTAATTTATAATTATTAACCGTTGTTTTTCTTTTTAATACCATAACAGTGCATGCACGTGGAGTGAAATTACATTAGTCACGGACTCATTGCAGAACTGTTTGATGCCTGTGCATGTTTTTGCAGCTTTTTTTTTTTCTTCAATCTGTATTCCTCTGCTTGCGCATTGGACAAAAGTTAGAAGGGCTAAGTAGTTTTCCAGATCAACTGCATCTCGTTCACCAAAATCGACAAAAAAAAGGCTACCAAAGAAATACTGTATACGTAACATTTCATTTCTTAGTTAAATGAATAACGGACATCTTTGATTCTTTTGCTTTACATAAGAAAGCATTGGAAATTTATTTAATATTACACTTAGGCGTGATAAAACAAACACTACAGCAACATAATAACGTGAAGTTAACCATACATGCACGTATACGAGAATCACACCTTGGTGAATAAGAAAGCACAAGACAAAGCAAAGCCACGACTAGCAAACACGAATTTAAGCAAATTTTGTATAAGCCATGATCAGGCACACTGGAAATTACGTGGGGCTTGTCTAGAGCAAACGTTGAGAAGCAAGGAAAGTGAAATGGGAAGGTTGAGGTTGATGCCCAAAATGTTTGCTCTAAGGGCAGTGCAGAGACACACTGCAGCCTCAAGATCAACGAGACCCTGGAGAAGGGAGCAGCAAGGGGTAACTGGTGGTTGACCCAAAGTAACATTCACCAACCCGTTTAGCACATTGGCGCATACACCCAGTTTCAGTGCGTCACGGGGGCATGAGGCACCAGAACCACCAGAGCCTCCTGAACCACCAGATCCACCCGAACCACCAGAACCACCGGAACCACCTGAGCCACCGGAACCACCTGAGCCACCGGAACCACCTGAGCCACCGGAACTACCAGAACCACCAGAGCCTCCCGAACCACCGCGACCACCATAGCCACCTGAAGGGCTGGGGGTTGGCTTTGTGCCAGGGCATGTGCTGCAAGAAGAGACAAGGGCAAAGAAGAGGATGTTGAGTGTGAGGAAAAGAGCAAGGGAAGAGTGAGTTTTGGAAGCCATGTTAAACCCTAGTAGTAGCCAGTATTTCTTATTTTCTTCGACTAATGTCTTGCAAATACCAGTTAACTACCAGAGTTAAGAGTAGAGTGTTTGTAGGGATGAGAGTTATCGGCAGTGCATGGTGGTTTATATAGTGCTTGGAAGCCAAGTGGGGAATTATTTAAGACCTGAAAAATGTTAAAGGGGTTTGCGTGAGGAGAAAAATGAATTTTATGAAACAACTAGGTACGTAAGAAAGTCTAAGAATTAGGTTTTGGATGCTTGTGTGGCGATGACGGGATTCCCATCAATCAGGATCCATATGAAAGATTAGGTGATAATTTTTCGATAATTCAATAATAATAAAATTTAAAATAATACTACATAGTATTATTTAACGATATTTTGAGTTATCAGTGATTATTTAGGTTGTGAAATAATATTTTTGTTAAAATTTTACATAAAATAATTCTATATAAGAAATGAAGTTCTCAAAGAAAAATTTTCCAATAATAATAATAATAAAGACAATCAGTTAACTCTGTTTTACAAATTTTTCTGAATAAAAATTTTAGGAAAGAAAAAATGAATTTTTTCTTATAAATTAATATTCATTTGTAGAGACTCTTTCATATAAGTTCTTCAAATTCTACTTTTTAACTTGTATATGAGTTAATTTTATAAATTAATTTTAATTTATGAGAAAATTAATTTTTTTTTCAATAAGTAATTTAGAAGATCTACTTCTCATCTCTATTCATTTTAAAATGAGTAAATAATATTATTTTGAAATCTAAAATAATTATTGATCATTGATATCATTCATTTTCATTTTCTTCAAATTCTGTAGTTACGAGGAGCAACTAAGATATTTTTATTTTTTCGAAATATGAAAAAGGATATCTTGTGCACTAAAAATAACATTTTTCAATGTCCTTTTTATTACTCTTCATAATAATAGAAAGACAGCCATATTCACTTAGTCATTTCATTACGCTTATTTTTTTAATATATGCATATTTGACCTATAAGAATTTTTCTAATTTTCTTTTTCATTTGTTATTTTATTTAAATGTTGTCTCTCTCTCTCCAAAACCATAAAATTTGAAATATTAATGATAAACTTCATTTAATAACCATTTCATTTAAAGATTAAAAATATTAACCAAAAGCACTATATTCCAATATTATTTATCACTAATGATGTATACAAAATATATATGACTTACTTTTTTTATTTAGAAATCTACAAATGTTATTTTTTCCCACACATAAATGTGGATTGGTTATTTTTCACATGTTAGAATTTTCAAAATTATTTTCGATTCATTAGATTTCTATTATCATATATATATATATATATATATATATATATATATATATATATATATATATATATATATATATTTTTTTTTTTGTGTGTGTGTGTGTGTGTGTGTGTGTGTGTGTGTTGGTTCATTTCAGTCCATGGGTCAGCAAGTAATCAACTTAAAATAATTATTCTTATTTGTTGTTTATGTTTTTTTTAAGGAAAGTTTAACTTTGTTTTTAAATGTAGGTTCAGTTATGTATGAATTTTGTAAGGTACTTAAAGTAGGTTTATTATTTAAGATGAGTTAAAATTATCTGTCTCCGTATCTTCATCTCTCACCTTCCAATAAAAATCGTTACATAATTTATTTGAGTTTGGATATTTTGCTGCTCTGCATTTTCTATAAAAGTATATTAGTTTTTTAATTAACTTTTCTTATATTTATATTGTAATAACTATTAAATATAAAATCAATTATTGGTATAAAGTACTTTAAAATAAAATCACGGGAGAGAATCTAAATTTATTTATTTTTTATATTTTATTTTTAAGTAAGGTTTAATCTACTAAATAAATTATATAAAAACTTTCCAGTGAAGATGATAAGAATATAGAGAAGTAATTTCTATCCATATAGGGTTTTACTGGATCCATTTTTTATCTTTGAGAATCATAATTACATGATATAACTTCCTCTACATTTAATCAAGGATTTTACATTTAATTAAGGATTTTACATCTAAAAGTTTAACACGTAAAATTTATGATAAATTATTCAATATATTCAAGAAAATAACACTTTAAAATTTTAAGTAAAAAAGTTTGTATGATTTATTATTAATAATATTCTTAAAATCCGTTATTGAAAATAGTTGAAGATATAAGTTTGAATTTAATAATATTTTTTAATTTTTTAATTATATAATAATATATTAAACATAAAAAATTAATTAGCAATTATAAATTTCTTAAAAAGTATATCTAAAATATTTTTTTCCAATTATTTACCAATTTCATTACATAAAAATTATAAAAAGTAACGATATTTTAGACCGATCCCAGTTACGTGAATTTGAACTAATTATAATAATCATGATAATTAGTATTTTTTTTATTCATTTTTGAAAATATTTTCTTTCAAAATACACTGTTTTGGTTAACATTTTCAAAATAAAATAAAAGAAATTTTATTTTAAAATTAAAATATATTAAAAATGACTGTTTAATATTTTTATGCTCAGTGGACGACCGGTATTTGAGTGAAAAAGAACAAGTGATATAATTTTTTTAAAAATGCTCGTACATACGGAAATCTTATATGTATTATTATTATTATTATTATTATTATTATTATTATTATTATTATTATTATTATTATTATTATTATTATTATTATTATTAGTATTAGTATTAGTATAATAATAAGAAATAAGTATTATACGTGTGTACGTGGTAATAAAGACAAAAAAACCATGTTACTTACAACATGTACCACAGCAATAACCTAAGAAAAATTCTACTTAATACACCATACACGGACATTTCATACGTATGCCTAATCGTTTGACATTGAGATCTTGGTGAAGATGAGGTTGTAGTGGACCCAGTTTGGTTAAACGGAGCCCGTGACTCTCTTATCTGTAAACGCTTCATAGAATGATTGATATTTTATTAGCAGAAAAACTTCCATGTGACCATGAACGCGTGGAAATCATTAATTGGCTTACTGTGTTTGTCTTTAACAGAAGTTGAAGCCAATAATAATGTTTATGGAGTGTGTAATGAAGCTTGGATCTGGGACGCAGGGCAATAGATTACGGCGCCTTCTGTAGGGTTTCGTTTGTAGGGTTCAAAAGTAGGGTTCTCTGGCTTCGTTTTCAACCCTAAGATTTTATGATACAGATGTAAACAAATCGTAGTGAGCAAGGAGTAATCTGCGTCTGAATATAGTGTTAGACTTGTCCATACATGTTTCTCATAAAGCTCATGAGTTGGACTGCATATATTTTGCCTATCTAGAAGCCATTTGCAAAAATACAACCCAGACGTATTAACAACAATAAATAATTTCAAAAAAAAAAATCTTTTATCAGCTATACATAATAATTTATTTGAGACAAATTAAAAATAAAATTTAGTATTTTATTTAAAATTCATAATATGTATCAATCTAAAATTATTTTAAAAGATTAAAATTACAGTTAGTTTTAGAGGAAAAAAAATTAACCTTCTTTTTATATAAAGAAAATATGTTAACCATTACCATGACATTATATTAGCTTTTTTTTATCTATTTTTTAAAGATTTTATGAAGAAATAAAAAATATAATCAATTTATTAATTAAAAATAGTTATGAAGATTTTTATTTTATCTTTTATTTATGAAACATATATTAGACATCGTTACCGAACTTTAACATCCTATTAATATTGACATCTTTAAAGTCCACTGATAACAAATATTTAAAAAAAAATAAAAATACAAGAATTATGGGATAAAACAAAAACCTAACTACACCCCTCAAATATCTTTTTAATTTTATGTAAATTGAATAAAAATTAGATGGAATAAAATATTGCTGAAAAAAATAAATAGTGTTACGTTAGATTTTAAAATGAAAATTAAATAAAAACAAAAACTTTTAAATTTTTTACGATAAAAAAAAGGCACCATATAAATTCAACTATACTAGTTGAGTAAAATCCTCTTTTTTTCTTCTGAATCTTTGGGATGTACATTGTTATAATAATCCTTGAATTTTAGAAAAAAAATGGCAGAATAATTTCTGAAATTGAAATTTAATACTCAGTATGGTACTATTGTTAACTACGTTATGAGCTACTCTCATTGTTCTCATCAATAAAGTTCAATTATTTATCACAATCAATGAAAGTGGTTAATGTAGTTGATAGCAATAAATTTGCTCTAAAATTATATATTTTGTAAATACTCTTGTAATTTTTTTTACTCACTTATAATTGTTTGTCAATATAATTTTATTTATAAATATTTAATATAAAAATAACTAAATACACGAGACAATAGAACGAGTCTTAAAAAAAACACTAATTTTCAATTTAGATGTGACAAATCGTATATAATAATAATAATAATAATGCTATAAAATTTAGGAACTATAATTAAAGATGTGAATTTTAATTAACTAAAATTACAATTTAGTTTCAAATATTTATTCAACACCTTTTTAATTTAAAGAACTATAATTATATTATCTCACAAATTCAAGGACTAAAATGAACATTTACTCAATTATTATTGGAGTAAATAAATATCTATTCATTTCATCAAGAAATAATTATCTTCCTAAAAGTATTATATATATATATATATATATATATATATATATATTAAAAAGTTATAAATATAAAATTAATTATTTAGAAAATCAGCATATGACTTGTCATAATATCTTTCTGAATTTGTGTCATAACATGCCATGTGACTTTTGAAAAACTCACATGGTTTGTTTTAAACTTCACCAATGAAAATAAATTCCAATGATTAATATTTATTCATTTATCTCTTATGTAACATCCGTATATTCTCTAATATATGATTAACTTGATTGAAAATAATTAAAAACTTGAAAAAAAAAAGTAAAGTATAAATTATATGCAAATTTAGTGGTTAGTTCAACTAAAATTTGAATTATGCTATGAAAGAGATAATAAAAACTTCTACATTTTCTACAAGTATACAATTGTATACTTCTAGAAACATAATATAATTAGTGCTATTCTAATCGATGAAAGTTTGGATTAGTTTCAACTTTTTGAACTAAGATAATCATGTTTGATCCCTTAAATATTGAATGTAGAGTAGAAAAAACATAGAATCAACCACCACCACACATATTATTTGACTAATCCATCTATATTAAGCAATTAGTATGTTGATTACATCATTAGGTACACTCATCAACCAATTAGAATGTTTAAAATTTTGGGATACATTTTCTTTTGATTTTGGTAAAATTCTTCACCCTTACACTCCATAAAGCATAAAATTGATGAAAGCTTTTTTATATTCATCCTCACTTAAAGCATCTAAAACCTTAAAAATACTTATGCATTATCTCTGCACTTTACAATTTTTCCTCATATTTTGTTTTCCTCTTTGTGTTGATCGATCATTCTACCAATCTCAGTCTTATTTTTTTCTATTAAATCCTTGCTTGAACTCCAAATGTATTATAGGATTTAATCCTTCGTCCTCTTCAACTCCTCAGGACTTCATATTCTACACTGATTTTAGTGGTGTTATTTTTATGTGAAAAATGTCACCTAATAACACAATAAAATCAAATTGTCACTGAGTATTAAGCTCTAACAATAACATATAGTTTGGTATATAATAAATTTTATATCACATTATACTTGAGGTCAATGATAATTTGTATATATTATCTTCTTTTAATTTATTAAAATAATTTTTAAGAAAAAAATTATAATAAATTAAAATTCTAAAACAGATAATACTTTAAACGTAAAACTTCATCCTAATAATTCTATCATAACAAACATAAAATCAAGACGATCTCTACATAACAAGATTTGATATAGATAAAACATTTCAATTTTCTCTCAATGTTTTTTTTCTATTTTATTCTTAACTTAAGTAACTTCCATTTTCTGTTCTGAGACTTTTATAAATTCTATATTTTTTATGTGTTATTCTTGTTTTATTCCTAACACTCTCATGTTGCAAATGATTTCAATTCTCTATGCTTAATGCTTTGTTTGTGTTGTAAATCAATATGATTACATATTTTGAAAGTTGGGATATTGGGTAAGAACCTTCAAATTTAACACATATATTTCAAGGGTTAAATTAAATATATAACTCTTTATTTTTACCAATTCTTTCATTTATTTTGCATTTGTTTATTAAGTCGCAAGCTATAAACTTTGAAAAAACTATATTATGATCATAAAATAAAATAAAAATGACTTGTTGAATATCTACAATAATTTCTATTTATATATCCTTTGATTTGTAATATCACTAGCGGTATCTTTTTTACATCAATTAAAAATAACTTTTAATATGCATATGAATCTAACAATAAAAAAAATAGCATATTTTACAAATACATTAATCAAAGTAAATATCACTTTTACATTATTCATAAATTTGGCCAATTGAATTTAACTATTTTAGCTTAGTTCATTTTTAGAGAAGAGAACAATTCGACAATTTTTTATAAAACCTTTAAAAATAATTTATTTTATCAAACAAAACATGAAAAAAATAATTTTAATTAAATTAATAGAAAAATCATTTTCACATTTTTCAACGAGCTTATTTACTTAAATATCAATCCATCCCGCAACGTCTTCATATAAGTTGTCATTTAGTTTTCAATTTCATTGTTTTCCTTTACTTTTTTTTTCTGTTATCACTTACATGTAGAAAATCTTAAATTATTGATGAAAATTACTCACAAATTTAAATATGTCAGTAAATTTAAATTACCAATAGAAACTTATTGACAAATATAAAAATGTGGTTACATTTAAATTATTGACAACAATTTACATATAGTTTGTAGATTATCAATGAAAATTTATGTCAATAATCCATTAATAAGATTTTTTTCAATAATTTTTTATTGTAAATACGATATACCAAGACTTCTACTACAAAGAATATTACATATTTGATAGTGAAATATTGATTGCATGTTGAAATTTATGAATTACGGGAAAGTATGATACTAAAAAATTTGGAGGTTCAAGAGTTTTATAAAACTCTCATGAAAAAAAATATAAATGAAAAATTTCAAAGAAATGAATTGGGTGCATGAATATAAAAATAGTGAAAATTGTTGATTTATTCGTTATCGGCAATATATTATTTTTTGAAATTTTAATAATTATTCAGTTATTTAAGTAATAAAAACTTACCAAATTCTTATTTATTTAATAAATATAAATCTATTAATTATATATTCAAGTAGTAAATATTAATTTATTAATTATTGAATTAAAAAATATTAATTATTTAATGAAAAATTTAATATATTAATGATTTATTAAATAAATATTAAGTTATTAATTATTTAATTAATAATTTTTTTTTCATAATTCTAATTATTAAATATTAATCAATTAATTAATATTAAATTATTTAATTAATAAATATTTTTTTTAATTCTAGTTATTAAATATTAATCAATTAATTATTTATTAAATATTTTAAGTAATAATAAATATTATTTAAGTAATCTTAAATAATTGAAATAAAAAATATAAGATTTAATTACTAATTATTAATAAAAATAAAATAAAAATTCATATATATGAATCAGATTGATTATCTTAATTAAAATTAATTTTATTAAATTTTTAATCTATTTATGTAACTGCTTAAATTAATTTTAAAAATTTATATGTGGTTATATTTAATAATTTATTAAAAGAAAAATTATTTTAATAACTAATTTCTTTTATTCTCAAAGATTATAATTTTTTATTTCTGTTACAAAATATAAATTTATTCAAATAAAAATTTATTTTAATAATTAATTTCTTTTAACTTCTCGTTACTAAAAAAAATTACTATAATGAATTAATTCAGTATTAATTTTTAAAATAAAAAAATATTTTAAATTTAGTTTCAGTGATTAATTATTTAGTTATTATTAAAAATAATAATTACACAATGTTATCTCGCATAACTCTCCCGAGCCCCTCACTCCCACTCTCTCAGCCTTTCTATCCTATCTCAAACCCTAACCCCCATTTCCTCCACTCATCCAAATCGTCACTTTTTCTATTCACCAAAATGGTGTCTTTCGCCTAAAAAATCAATGAAAATGTCCTCTCTATTCTTCGAGATCCTCAGCATCTTTGTTTCAAGAAAATTCAAATAAACAACCCAATGAGACGACATGTACGACAATAGGATTGAAGAAATCATATCTATGGTGACAAAAACTTGGAGGTTCTCACCGATGAAGATGTCGTTTAGAAGAGCAGTCATGATAATAATAGATGGAGAGCTTCAGAGAGGGACGCAATTGAGCAAAGGAAGAAAGGAGAATAAAGAACGACGACGGTGCCGGTAGTGGTGGAAGGGGTAGTAAATCGGTAAAGAGGATGGAGAATGAAGATGGTGGTGTAGGGGTAACAAATCTTCGTGATTGGTGAGTTTGTCGGAAGTGAGAAGCGTACTGAGCTTAACGATGATAAAGACGATGGTGGAGTCAGTGCCAAGGTCGGGGACCATGTCGTTCTTGACGGACTTGATGACCTTATCGGCAACGAGTCTATTAAGATTGTCTTGGTTGAGGGTGATGGCATGGACGATGGGGAAGCAATGAGGATTAATTTCCCCAAGACCATATGTAAATTCCATATCAATGGTTGTTTCAATGTAATTCCTTTTAATATCAATTTTTTTTAATTTATGTTCTTTATATTTATGTGTGTGCAGTTTCATGGTTTCAAGCTCCACTGGAATTCGCATATTGTTATGGTTCCATTTGATGGATTCGAGATCACTCTATGGAAATGGTCTAATTGCTCATCTCCATGAATACGAAGGGCAAAGGCATATTAGGTATAGAGATCTTGTTGGATGTATATTTGTTAAGACACATTAACTTTATTTCTCATTTAATTATGATTGGTAAACTTGTATGCTATGTGTGTCATTGATGCATAACCAAATTGTTCTAAATTTTTTTATGCTACAAATACATTTTAGATTGGTGGGAAAAATAAGTGAAATATTATCTACTAATAAATCTGTCAATAATTATTAATATATTAATAATCAAATTTAAATAATTATTAAAGAATATATTCATTCATAAATTTTATTGAAAATATAATTTTTATCAGACTTTGCTTACGACCATATCCCTAGATAATTATCTTTTCACACAAATAATTTTATTAATAATTGTCTATGGTAAACTTTATTTATAACTTTTTTATCAATGAATTTTGTTTTTCCGTAATCCTTCGGTAATATGTTTTACCAATAGATTTTTACAATTACCGATAGATTTTTTCTGTTGGTATATCAATTCTTGTAGTGTAATAAGGTATTAACATTTGTTGGAGGATTCCAACATAAAAATATGTAGGACTATATTTTAGCAAAGAATAACAAAAATAGAGAGGGGTAATGTAAGAAGAATTTCATCGTAATCATAAGACCAACACTTTATTTATATATATATATATATATATATATATATATATATATATATATATATATATATAAAGCAATTTATTTCAAAAATAGAAAGACAAAAGATATAATTTCTTTAATGATATTAGAATCTTCAAAAAAATTTAAACGGATTAAAATATATATTTTATCATTTTATATGATCAATAGATATATTTTTTTATTTTCATTTCATGAAATAGAAAATTATCCAAATGAATAAATAATATATTGAAAATATAATTTTTTTATATTTCAAAATACCCTTTTTATTCTTAAAATTTAATCAAGTATTCGGAATTTTGTAATTTTAAAGTAACACTACTGCACAAAAGGCTTTTTACGTCGGTTAAAATGAGATTTCTACGTCGGTTAAAGCGGCGACATAGATACGAGGTCATAGAAAGTAAGGCTTTCTACGTCGGTTCCTAATAACCGACGTAGAAAGTAAGACTTTCTACGTCGGTTATTAGGAACCGACGTAGAAAACCCTACTTTCTATGAGCTATTATAATCGGTCAAAACTGGTTCTGATCGGTAATAGAGTTATTCTGATCGATCATAACTGGTTCTGATCGGTCATAGAAAGACTTTCTACGTCGGTTAGTCAGGGAACCGACGTAGAAAGTCTTTTTTTCTATGAGCTATTCTGATCGGTCATAACTAGTTCTGATCGGTCATAGAGCTATTCTGATCGATCATAACTGATTCTCGACTGTCATAATACTTTCTATGTCTGTTAACATCGATAACCGACATAGAAAGTCTTACTTTCTATGTCGGTTAAACTTATAACCGACATAGAAAGTCTTACTTTCTAACTTTCTATAACCCCAGTATCTATATCGGTTAACAGTAACCGTGATTGTATGTGTTATCAATGTCGGTTATGCCTATAACCGACATAAAATGTTACACTTTCTACGTCGGTTATGTCATTAACCGACGTAGAAAGTACTTTCTACGTCGGGTAATGACATAACCGACGTAGAAAGTGTTATTTTTTTTAAAATACCTACATTTTCTTTACAGATGCTACCTTTCTTCGAGTAGACCTGCCTATTTATCACAGTTCCAGACAAATATTCACAGATCCGATACGACAGATATGCACAGTTCATATATAAATTTGCTACGAGATATATATCCAGGCATGACAGATCCAGATTACGAACGGATATGTACATATGAAACATATTGAAATCAATATATGTACCTCGTTCCAGACAGTTCATTTACTTAAATGAATGTAAATTTGCTAACTTAAATCAATTCAATCTAAATTGTTACAAGTCAAATTTGCTATGAAGATTGAATACTTAAAAGGAAAGAAGCCCACTGCTCTCTAATATCGTCTAACACTTCAATCTTCATTGGAGATGAGTCTGTAAATTCCTACATATTGAAACATTTCAGATTTAGAAATCATTTACATAATTGGCATATTTGACTTAATTATAGTATATTTACCTCCCTCCATGAGCCCATAATATTTTTGGCTACGATGGTGTGCATGTGCTTCATCACATAATACCCGCACTCATGGCTTCCCGGTTAGCGTGGACACTACAAGTTAAATACATGTCAGATTAACTTTAAATGACAAATTGAACAACAGTAAGAGGTGTTTGGTCACCTTTGGTGCAATATACGTCAACTTCTTTCTAGCATGAGATGGAAGGCCTTGCAACCTTAGGTGAGCTTTCAAAGCTCTACAAAAGGACAAATAATTTTGGTGTAAGTAGTGCACATATGATACAACAATTAAAAAAACCAAACTTACGCGTCTATGTGCTTTCTAATATCCAAATCATTTGGTTTCTTGTGTAATGAACATAAGAGAATCACAAGAAATTGCCGAGGAACAATGATTATGAGCTGTCAATGACCCCTGCACGTTGAAATAATATTAGTAAAATTTCAGTTTTACATAAATGTGCATTAATTTATAAGATGTATACTTACTGATGCAAGTAAGGTGCTAAGTAGACTTCTTTGCCCCCAGTTTGAAATGCCTCTATTAAGTACGTTTGCACCTCTTCAGCTTTATTCCCAACGGGCTGAATGGTAACAGGGTCAACAAATCCATAGAGAAAGCGGATCTTCCTCTCAACACACAAACGATGTAAATACCTTCAACATTGAAAATAAATAAAGTTATAAAATAATGTACCAGTGAGAATATAAAAAATATGTAAATATACTTACATTTCCCAAAGCTGCAACACTGATACACATAGCATATCAGTACCAGTGAGAATATCAAAAATATCCCTTTGGAGTAAGAAAAAAGGGATCGTCTTGGTCCTGCATACGACTTCGGGTGGCATATCTAACTGTATGGAAGTGGTCCCGATAGTCGCTGCCAGTGCACCGACTCGCTGTAAAGCAGATGGTGGTGGTGGTGATTCATGCACAACTTCCTTTGCTTTTTCAGCCTCTTTCTATACAAGTACCAAAAATCAATAACATTAATATACATCAACCTATCAAAAAATAATAAGTACTATCATTCAATGCATAAATCAACATGTGCATGTGTTGGGATGGGTCTTGTTAATGAAACTGGCCATAAGATAAAATTTTCAGGTGCCTGTCCCACTGTTTGAACCTCTTCAGTGGGAATAGGGATTGGGGCAGCAGCATCCCGGACATCTACAACCACCACTCTTATCATATCATCTCCAATACTCTGGTGGTGGATGGTTGACCCCAATGCATACATTTTCCCTAAGGTAAACAAAGGATAAAATATTTTAGACTATATAATGCTTAACACCGTACCAAATACATGTCAAAGATATAATACGTACCGTATGCCACCAAATGCTCGGGAGGACCCGCAACATACAACTCACAGTCAGCAGTGTCGGTAGGAGCAACCTCCGCCCTCTATCGGGAGCATCACAACTCTCTTTTGTGCCGACATGAATCGGGGATGCCTCTCGTGCGGGGACGTAAGGTTGAGAGGACAAAGATGTCAACTCTGCTCGCATTGAGCTCAATAACTCGCCTTCAAGTCGAGTACACCTCATCTCGAATCTCGCTTCCTAATTTGTTGTTTGAGGGACTCAAACTCTTGCTCATTCGGATGCCTCAAAGAAGGAGTTGCCACGGATGGGGCACCAAAGTACCTGTCTCGATGTCCACCCCTCGTCCAGCGACCACGAACACGTCCAGGATGCTCCGGGGTACCAATGGCCACCGCCAATATATCCCGACGGCCATGTGGGTGGAATGATCCCCGAGTGCTCTGCTCAACCAACTCATCCTACAACACAAAGGAATGATTTTTTAGCAAATACATATGCCTATTGTAGTATAACATATATAATTAGTTTAGGATATGCTACTTACAATACGTTGAGCAACAACATTAGTTTGCTCGGATAAGTAATTCCCCGATGAGTTCCGGCGAGCTCTCTTCCATTTATCATGGCGTGAAGGGCGGGTGACGGAACTCACAACCGAGTCATCTCGAAGGTAGACTTGAAGAAGTTTCCTTCATAATCTTCTCCTCCAATTTCTCATAACCCCCACGAGACAACCTGTGGGGGTGGATATTCTTTCTCTCGAATATCCTGTGCCTTCTGCGCTTGACCCGTTGCATTCCATGTTAAATACCAAATTTAAAACCTCTATTTAAAAAAAATGACTGCAAACAAATGACAAATGTGCTAACCTAAAAGCTAGCGTCTAAACGCCGAGTCCGAAATGCCCGTCATGTCTCCTCATCCAAAAACCGATACTCGGTCACATGGGTTCTTGTTGCTCAATGCCCCATATATGTATCGACTAGTCAGATCACTCTTAAAACCTCTCCGAGCATTCCCCAAGCATATGAGATCCACTTTGTCCTCAACAAAGTGGTGTTAGGGACATCATATGTGACCTACACAATAAAAATAACATGAAGTTCCCAAAAAGTTAAATATATATACATGTTAAATGCTCAATAAGAGTAGGTACCAGGATACTCGCCAAATCCGGTTCTTCAGGTGTCTCGGAACATGGTCTCAATCCTCAATAAGAATACTAACCTTGCTTCTCCCAAGCAAGGCCACATAGCTAGTGAATCTAGCATTGTGCTCTCCCGTGGCTCTACCTGTTTGCATGTCAAACCTGGATAGGCAATTTCCGATCGGAGCTACGACCGATATTCAACTCCTCAACCGTGTAGCACGCCTACCCTTTTTCCTGGTAGACGGCCGACTCGATCACCACCTTGTGTAGGAGGGGGACCGTGTAGGAGGAGGGGTACCGGATGAATCTGCCATATCTCGTGTTCAAAGAAAAAAATAATAGTTATTAGTTTAGACAAAAAAGTGCATACATTAAAAAATAATACATTAAAAAAAGTGCATACATTATCAAGTTGGAACATTCTCCCAAAATCCTTCCATATGGTCATAACGTATGGCATGCACATCATCTATTTCTACATTAACACTCAAGTTTGGCATATTTGAAGAGAAACATGGTGTCTCCGGTATATCAAGTACTAATTCATCATTCTCATCGAAGTATACATGGGTTTTCCTTGTAGAACCACCGACCATCCTTTGTTAGCGGGATCGAGTGACATAAAACACTTGTTTTGCCCGAGATGTCATGATAAATGGTTCTTCGGTATAACGAGTATTTTCAAGGTTAACCAAGGTAAATCCAAGATCGTCGGTGAAGATGCCAGTATTAAAATCAACCCACTTACATTTAAAAATAGGTACTCCGAATATCGTGTAATCTATTACCCAAATCTCTTCAATTACACCAAAGTAGCTCATTGACGCCCTTATCGGATATTTATCCTTTGAACTCGAGAAATGCATTGATTCAGCCACCACCATGACTCCACTATTTTGCATTGTGCTTATTTCATCTTCTCCCTTTGTATAAAATGAATAGTTATTTATATCATACCCACCCCAACATATCACATCAAAGTTTGGCTCACATGCTAGCCACTTTAGTGTATCAGAAGCTGTATTGTCACCTTCAACTTGTTGTTTAAACCACTTCAAAAAGCTCTTGTTATGTTCAGTGATCACCCACTTTTTAGGCATACGTGGATTATTTCGCTTCACAATGTCTTTATGAGCACTTAAGTAGGGGATGACTTCTTCACTGTTATTCAATATGTACAAATGCGCTTGAAGTACTTTATCTCGACACATTGTCACAACTTTTGCACCTCGAGTTCCTCTACCAAGACCTATTCCATGGTAACGAGTCTTAGGTAACCCTATAGCTTCAACTTCTGATAAGTATTTTGTGCAAAACTCAATAGCTTCCTCTGCAATATATCTTTGAATAATTGATGCTTCAGGACGATATTGGTTCTTCACATACCCTTTTAATATCTTCATGTATCGCTCAATAGGGTACATCCATCGTAAGAAAACTGGACCACAAATTCTAACTTCCCTGGCTAGATGAACAATCAAGTGAACCATAATATCAAAAAATGATGGAGGAAAGTACATCTCAAATTGACACAATATGACTACAGCCTCATTCTCTAACTGATCCAAAACATCCGGGTCCATAACTTTACTACATACGGCATTAAAAAAAAAGCATAATCGAGTTAAGGAATATCTAACATTCTCTGGTAAGATACCTCGAATAGCCACAGGTAGAAGTTGTTGCATCAATACATGACAATCATGAGATTTTAACCCAAGCAATTTTAGATATTTCATAGATACAAGTCTCTTCACATTGGAAGAGTAACCAAATGGAACCTTCACACCTCGTAAAAACTCACAAAAACTTCTTTTCTCTTTTTTAGACAGTGTGTGACATGCTGGAGGCAAGTATGTTCGGTTACCATGAGGTTGAGGAGCTAATTGTTCTCTTATACCCATTTCAACCATGTCCAAACGAGCATTGACACCATCTTTTGTTTTTCCTTGAATGTTAAGGAGCGTTCTGATGATACTGTCACACACATTTTTCTCTACATGCATGACATCTATACAATGCCTCACATCAAGAACCCTCCAATATGGAAGAACAAAAAGGATTGACATTTTCTTCCATATACCTGTGACTTTCTTTTGCGTCTTTCCAAACTCACACGAAATCGCACTTACTCGTTGATATACTTGTTTCCCAGTTAAAGGTGTTGGGGCTGCATCATTTTCTTGACACCCGTTAAATGATTTTTTTAATTTACGATATGAATGGTTTGAAGGAAGAAATCTTCGGTGTCCAAGGTACACTGTTTTCCTTCCATGTTGTAGTTGATAGTGACATGTGTCTTCTTCACATATCGGGCAAGCTTTATGTCCCTTTGTGCTGTAGCCACTCAAATTACCATATGCTGGAAAGTCATTAATTGTACAAAATAACATTGCACGCAACTTGAATAAGTCACCTGTGTACCCATCAAACACATCAACACCTTCCTCCCACAACATCTTCAACTCTTCAACCAATGGGCTTAAAAAAACATCAATGTCATTTCCAGGTTGTCTGTAGGCATGGCAACGGGGCGGGGCGGGGGCGGGTTTTGCCTCCCCGTCCCGCCCCGACTTTTTTAACCATCCCCGTCCCCGCCCCGATCCCCGCCGGGTTAGGAATTAAGTCCCCATCCCCGTCCCCGCTGGGTTTCGGGTTCCCGCCCCGCCCAGTCCCCAATTTATATTATTTTTAAAAAGATAATTATATTTATAATAAATTAATTTTACTATGTATTTTTATATATAAATAAATATTTATAATTTATAGTTATTATTAATTAAATATACATTTTAATTTATTATATTTATATTAAAATATATATGTAAAAGAAATATTTAATTATTTTTATTTATATATATATATATAATATTTATAACATTATTATTATTATTATTATTATTATTATTATTATTATTATTATAACATTGTATTCAAATATTTGAATATTTATAACATTATTATTATAATATTGTATTCAAATATTTAATTATACATATAAGTTAATTCATTTTTAAGTTGTCAATATATAGTTTATAAGAAAATATTTAATAAGTTAATTCTTATTTAATTAGTTTGAAGTAATAAAAGTTTAAATTATTAATTTCTTTTAATCCTTTAAAATGCAATTATTTTATTAAGATAAAATTTGATATATGATAAATAAGCATAATAAGATAAAAAAATATGGCATAATAAATATAAATTATAAATAAACTAATATTAGTTACTACTAAGATTGATGTAAAATATTTAGAAAAAGATAAAGAAAAAATATTAACTTTGTGTTCATCAAATTGATTGAAAAGATTGAAAAAAAAACAAATTGATGGGAGAGACTAAGAAAATGTGAAAAACTCGAAAGATAAGGGAGAGAATAATATAATAAATTAATTGATATAAAAGATTGAGAAAGATAAAAAAAATTAAAAAGTGGGTAGAAGAAAAATAAAAATTGGTGAAATATAAAAAAATAACCTTATATGTAATAGAAAAAGAAAATGAAATACTTTTAAAATATTAATATTTTAAAATTTAAATATAAAGTCTGGGCGGGGACGGGGCGGGGTCGGGGTGGGGATTGCATTACCCATCCCCGCCCCCGCCCCCGACTTTTTAAAGCGGGGAAAACCCGAACCCGACCCCGCCCCCGGTCAACTCGGGGTTTTCCCATCAAACTCGGGGCGGGGACGGGTCGGTTCCCACGGGTACGGGTTTAATTGCCATCCCTAGTTGTCTGGGACCCGAGATCATCAAAGATAGCATCAAGTACTTACGTTTCATACACAACCACGGAGGTAAGTTGTAAATAACTAACACCACAGGCCATGAACTATGTTTACTGCTTAAATTTCCATATGGATTCATTCCATCTCGTAGCAAGTCCAAACCTAATGTTTCTTGGATCATTACCAAAATTCTGGAAGATGGAATCAATTTTTTTCCATTGCAATCCATCTGCTCGGATGCCTCAACTGACCATCTTTAATACGACTATCCGCATGCCATCTAGTGAGCTTTCCATTAGTGAATAATCGTTTCAACCTTGGAACAATGGGAAGATACCATAACACTTTTGCCGGGGTACCCTTCATTACATCATTGTCAGAATCACCATCCTTCTTCTTGTATCGTGATTCCCCGCATTGTGGACATTCGTGACAGTTCTCAAATTCTTTCCTGTACAACACACAATCATTCGGACATGCATGAATTTTGTGGTACTCCATACCCATTGGACACAATATCTTCTTAGCATCATAATTGCAGGTTGGCAATGTGTTACCTTCAGGGAGCATGTCACTCAACAACTCAAGCAATTCTGTGAAACTTTTATCGATCCACTCATTCTTTGCCTTCACATTGAACAATTTTAGTACCGCCGACAATCGTGTGAACTTAGTACAATTTGTATACAAAGGCTCTTTTGCATCATTGGACAACTTCTCGTACACATGTGTATGTTGGAAGGCATCTTGTCCAAGCTCACGAATCATTTCCTCCAACTGATCATCCATCTCTAGATCAACTTTTTCTTTGTCTTCTACACTTGGCATGTTTAATAATTCACCATGCCATGTCCACTTTATGTAACTCTTTAGGAAACCATCACAAAGAACATGTTCCCGAATAACTTCGATGGGTAATCTTCGCTCATTCAAGCGAGTTAACACAAGGGCAATAGAATCTTCCATCATTATCCGAAACATTCATCTTGGCAAATTCAAGGAATTGTTCTACTCCACTCTCATATTCATTTGTTGTTCGTCTATAATTGATCCAACTCCGATCCATTGTTACAAATCTAATTTTCAAAATCAAATTAGCTACAGAAACACGAAATAACTACATTATAATGCCTACACGAAATCCAACTCCACTCTCAAAATAACTACATTATAATAAAAATCTAATTTTCAAAATCAAAATCACGAAAGAATGCCTACAGAAACACATTCAAATGACTAAACTACTTACAATACATCTCTAAATTAGCTAAAGGCACCCGTGATGTTTCCCTCTCTTGACAGCATTATTACTTACCAGATTCAATACTGTAAACCTACAATGGCTAAAGCAAGCACGAAATCTTACCTCTTGAAGACCTACAGAGGTGGCAGGTGGCGTGACGTGCAGAGCCGGGTGGGGAGAAACGTATCACAGGCGACGGGCACCAATGACAGTAGCAGCAGGCGGCACGACGTACAGCGTTGGCAGGTGGCGTGACGAGCAAATGTGGGGTGCGGAGAAACGTACACAGGCGAACGGGGAGCTCTGCTATGGGTGAACTGATGAAATGAAATGGAGCGTAGGGAGAAACGTACACAGGCGAACGGGGAGCTCTGCTATGGGTGAAGTGATGACATGAAATGGAGCGTTGGAGCAGGGTAAAACAGAAGATATTATGTCGGTTGCCCTAGCACCCGTCATCAAAGACACTTTCTACGTCGGGTAATATTTAACCGACATAGAAAGTGAACTTTCCACTTACTATGTCGGTTAAAATTTACCCGACATAGAAAGTTTATGATTTTATTACAAAATTGCCACCGCGCTACATACTATGATGGGTGGACTACGACCGTGATAAAAACTCGTCATAGAATGCTATTTTTCTACTAGTGTAATTTTACATTATTATTTTTCAATAACATTCTTCCAATTAATGTGCATGACAAGCTTTATATTTTTTTTCAAAAAAAATACCTAATACATTTGAATATTAACAGAGTTTTAGAAAGAAATGGAAATTACTAACACGTTCAGTAACTTATTTGAAAATTGAACTTTGAGATAGCTAATAAAACTAGGGCCTACGTCATGCACATGCAGATTTTGTGCTCAATGGTGTAAGATTATAGATTCTCAATTGTAATGTTTATAATTAAAATATAATCCATAGAAATTATTGAACTTCGAAAATCGAAAAGCCTGTTACCAAAAACCTCAATAACCAATGTACTACTTCTCTTCAATAAAATAAAATAGTTAAAACAGTGTGCCATACATTCAAGAGAAACGCAAAGAAACAAAAAAATACACTAAATGCCAAATAGTTTCAGAATTTCAGGTATCCAATCATACATTTAAATAAAAATTATATTTAAAGAATCATTATGGCCAATTCAAATCTCCTCAAATTATTTCCTTCATACATGTGGGATATGAACTTTATCTTTGCGTTTCTGCATTAATACATCATCAAACACGCATTATTGGACCAAAATCAAGAAATTCTTGCTTCTTACTGAATGTATATATATGGAATTTGTCCAACCAAATATATTGTAAAAAATAGAAGCTGTTTAGAATAATTTCATGAATTCATTATATCCAATGTGAAAATGTACTGATTTAAAGCAGTAAATGGAAATTTTGATTCTGTTTAATGAGCTAATTATTCAGAGTTAAATAAAAGTAAAGTAGTAGTGGTTGCACGTGGAGTGATAAAGTAAGTACCTTAGTCACGGGCTCATTGCAGAGATGATGGTTGTGTTTGCTTTCGATTCGTTTTTTATTTTTTTCTTAAATTTGTGTCCCTCGACCCTATGGTTGGGCGTTTGACAGAAGTTATAAAAGGGAAAGTAATTTTTCTGATCAACCAGGTATTGCTCTCATTCACCAAAACAGACAACATTCGTTTGCAGCAATAAAATAAGATGTGTTTATAACATTAATCATTTATCGATCTGTCGAATAAATAACACTATCATCATTGATTCCTTTCGCTTAACGTAACAAAGCATTGAAAATTTATTTAATGCGACACTTTCCCTGATAAAACAAACACTAATTAAAGAGACAGAATAACGAGAAGTTAACCATCCATGCACGTACTAGAATCGCACCACCATCAATGAAATTTGGAAAATAAGACAACAGAAAGCCATAACTATAAACCCGAAGCCATGATTAGGCACACTGGAAATCACGTGGGGCCTGTTTTGAGCAAACGTTGAGAAGCAAGGAGAGTGAGATGGGAAGGTTGAGATTGATGCCCAAAATGTTTGCTCTAAGGGCAGTGCAGAGACACACTGCAGCCTCAAGATCGACGAGGCCATCCAGAAGGGAGCAGCAAGGGGTAACTGGTGGTTGACCCAAAGTGGCGTTCACCAACCCGTTTAGCACATTGGCGCATACACCTAGTTTCAGTGCATCACGGGGGCATGAGGCACCAGAACCACCAGAGCCTCCTGAACCACCAGATCCACCGGAACCACCTGAGCCACCGGAACCACCAGAGCCTCCCGAACCACCTCGACCACCATATCCACCTGAAGGGCTTGGTTTGACAGGCTTATGCTTTGGCCTTGGGTTTGGGTTTGGGTTTGTGCCAGGGCATGTGCCACAAGCAGAGACAAGGGCGAAGAAGAGGATGTTGAGTGTGAGGAAAAGAGCAAGGGAAGAGTGAGTTTTGGAAGCCATGTTAAACTCTAGTAGTAGCTAGTATTTCTTACTTTCTTCAACTAATGAATCGCAAACCCTACTTAGCTTCCAAAGAGAAGTGTGTGTTGGGGGGGAGAGATGGGACGTATTGACAGTGAACGGTGGTTTATATAGTGTTTTGGAATGCAAGTAGGGTTTACTTGTTTATGAACAGATCACCCAAGTAATAATTATTAAAATAGTTAAATGGGATTAAGAGAAGAGTTTTAGCTGGCAGAGAAAAAACCTTGAATTAGGTTTTTTGGATGCTTGTGACATGATGCTGTGGGTCTCAAATCTAACGGCGGATGCTGCATGGTAAAGTTCTGCACCTATGGACCACTCGATTCCACAGCTAGATGCATGAAAATGCTGACTTTTTTTTTTTTTAAAATTATGTTTAGTAATAAGAGCATTTCATTATTAGGAATATTCATTTACCTCATTTTTTCAGAGGGATTTTTGGATGCCTAAGCTCAACAAACACCTTATTATTAATTAATATCTTTTTCTAACTTCCCACATGCATATATATTATAATTTATAACTTTTTCTTTTCTTTTATTTGTCTCTATGTAGGTTAGCATTCAAAAATAATGTTCTTCTTTTTATAATTCATTTTTGCACTGCATATCGTAGTTCATTTATTATTTCTGTTTTATTTGTGTCTAAGTGATATGGACACATAAATATCTACAATGCATTACTCTTTTTTTTTTTAATTACTAACTTTGGACGTGGATATCGTTAATAATTTATTTATTTAGTTACGTAGTCACTAATAGCTAACAGCAAGCTTAAATAATGATTTATAGATGTATACGAGTTTTTTTCTTTAAATTTGTTAAATATATTTATTTATGTCTGATTCAGAGAAAAATAAATTTTTAAAAATCAAAATTACTTTAAAGTTTCAATTTATTCCAGTTTAAAAAACTTATGATTTATATTTTAAATATTGGTATGTTAAATCAAATTTATTATATCTTTGAATTTTATATAAACTTAAGTTTATGAATATAAATTTAATCATCATAGTTTAAATTTAATTTTAATATTTAACTTTCTCGACCGTGAAGGAGATCTTAAATTAGGAAACATTCCACTTTTCTACAATAATAGTTTTTTGGATTTTTATTTTTTTGTAACAACACTTGCTTAGACATATTTTCGATACTTTTTCCCTTTGAAACGTGATTTACATTCTTCAATGATGATGTTTTTATGTATGATTTGAATACTATAATTGGTATGTTTCATAATAAAAATATATCAATTAATAATTGGTAATTGATAATTTAATTTATTTAAATACAAAATAAAATGTACAATGCCAATAGTTTTAATAATTATTATTGAGATATATGTGTAAGATATATCTACATAAAGGATAATAATTATTCTTAATGTATATAAAATGATTTTAATGTAGCTGAAAAAATAATTTTTAATATATATATATATATATATATATATATATATATATATTCCTTAATAATAATAATAATAATAATAATAATAATAGATTTTCAGTTTAATGGTTTTTGTAACTTCGTAATTGTTGTAAAAAAAATATCTTCAATTTATGAAATGAAACTATACTTCTTATTTATTATTCTGATTTCACTAAAAAACACTTTTGAGTAAATTATTAATAAAAAATGTTATAGTCCGTCGATAATTTTCAAAGAAAATTATTTTAGCAAGGTATTAAATCCTTTTGTCCATTTAATAGTACTTTAGCGTTTGAATTTACTAGAAACATAACTTTTTATTAGAACTAAATTAAAGTATATTAAAATGTAATATTATTATTGACGATATATATATATATATATATATATATATATATATATATATATGTTATATATATGTGTGTGTGTTTGTTTTAAAACAAATTTAATGTAAATATGAAGAAATAATTGGGATTTTTATTTTGAAAATACGCTTTTTAAAACATAAAATAGATATATGATTTGATTGTACTTTAATTTGTTTTAATAATTTTCTGAAATAAAATAAAAGAATATATATATATATATATATATAATTTTCTGAAAAAAAATAATTTTTGAAATAGAAAAAAAAGACTAAAAAAAACTTCAAATTATTGTATATAGATTGTATAGAAAAAAAAGCAACAGCATAATAATTAAGAAAAGTGTATATAATTTAGTCAATAAAATAAGGTCTATTATCATAATTAACCAAATACAAAGCCTGTTGGCTTCCATCATTAATAAAATATAAGCTTGACATATTTCCTTTATTTTTAAAATTAAAACACGTTTCACGATAAAAAAAAATGAAATAAAAATATAGAAAAAACTATTTTGAAATTAGTTTATAAGAATAATATTTTCAAATGATTTTGTTTTTTATTTTTTTAAAAACAGATGCTTTTTAAAAATAACTATCACGTAGGACCTAATTTATCACTTTTTGAAAGAAAAAAACGAGATAATACATGGTTACCGTTAAAGTGTTATTTTTTATTGAAAAGTTGTGACTAAATTATTGTGACTTGCACGAGAAAAGAAGTCATTTTGTCCAGATTTTTTTTATTACTATTATTATTATTTTTGTTATTAATATAACTGTTATATTATGGGCCATTTTATTATAACTGTATAATTACCATTCTAGTGTTATAATTCTTACTTTTACTAATATTTATAATTTTAACTATGTATATGAAATATTTGTAATATTTATTATTTTGTATTTTTAACAATATTAATTGGTATAAATACGTGAGATATTATTTATATATAATAGATATAGAATTATATAAATATTATGTATACTAATAATTATCTAGAAAATATTTCTTACATTATTAATATTGATATTTATATTTTTATATAAGAAACCTATCAAATGTATATGTTAAATATTATTGTAAATAGTCAAAGCATATATCAAACCAAAACCTTCTCTAAGAAAGAGGATATAAGAAGTACTTTTATGTAATAATTTCCAAATCTCCGCTTATGTTTTTTTATCTACAAAATCAATCGTTGAAAAATATTTGACAAAAATATTAATAATAATATTTTTTAATATTTTAATCTAATTAATGTATTTATACTTTCTTATTTTTAATCAATGTGTTGAATTTTTTAAAAGGGAAAATTCTTACAAATGAAATCCGAGTTAATCATATAAAAAATATATATAATACTAACTTCAACCCAAAATCTCATTAATGATAGATCATTCTTATTTATAAATTATTTAACTTTTTATTTCAACTTTAACTTCATCTTATACTTAAATTGGTAATAATATACCTAAAACACTTACTAGATATTTATTAACATATATTATGAAGTTGAAGTTAATATTCGTACATGATAATTATTTCACTATAGTTTTAAAAGGATGGCGTGCTTTTTTTATTCCAATTGGTAAGTACGGTAAAAAAAAAAAACAACCTCTAAGAATAAGGCATTCCGTTCATAACAAAAATACAAGATTGTTTTCTCTACAACTATTATTAATATTTACTTAGTTAATTTTATTTTCATGTCAGTTTTTACTGCATTATTTATTTCTTTATATTTTTTTAACCCTACAATTCCCACTTGTTAGTTAGTACCTACTGAAAACATTATAATTTAGCCCAATCTTTTTGGTTCTGATAGACATCTAAGATAGGTGGAACCCTGTAACCTAATTTCAAAGCCTACATTCCCTTTTTGCTCTCATCAACTTATTTGAAAATCTGCATAAGATGCTTCTTTTGATTTGGAAGAGATAAGAGAAAAAAAATGCAAGAAATACTAACAGTGATTTGATTCTCTTGCATATTTTCTAGTAATATTTTTTTTTATTAATTTGATATTCTGTTCGTTTTTTTATAATTACATTAATGTACAATTATTGACTTGAATTGTTAAACATAAATTCCTTCCCCATTTGCCTGTGTAAAAAAATGAAATTGATTATTTCTAAATATAAAATTAAAAAAAAAGATTATTCAAGTATACAAATTAAATTATTTATTAAACCTTACTTTAAAAAGCAAATTAATGATTTGCACGCGTTCGGGGCCATGCATGTTCACATGGAAGTTGTTTTAGTAAGTTACGTTTTTATTAACAATATAATAATAACAATTATTCTAAGAAGCACTTAGAGTCACAGATTAGAGATTCACGGGCTTGGTTAACCAAAGTGGGGTCCACAACACTCTCGTATTCACCTGGACGAAGATCTCAATGTCAAACGAACACGCTTTCGAGTACTTATTTTTCTCTTCAATATTTTAATTTTTATTAAAATAATATTTATTTTAAATTATTTAATTACATACATAAAAATTAATGTAATTTTTTTAAGAGTATAAAAGTAAGAATTCGCAGTAGATTGTAGATTTTTAGATTAATTTTGCGGAAAAAAAAATCAAATGACAATATATTATATTGTTCAAATTCAATAATAATAATAATAATAATAATAATAATAATAAATAAATAAATAAATATTATAGTATACTCTTTGAAATCAAAACATTTACTAATTTGAAATATATAATTTCATCACATTGTTAGATTAAATTTTATTTCATATCAATTATGTTTATGAAATTTTAATTAATTAAAAATGTTAAAATCATCTAGATAATATACAAACTAAAAGATGATATTAATATTTGATGATATAATTGACAAATGATCTTATGCATCAAACATATATAGCGGAAAAATATGTATAGAGAAATATGTTAATTTTAAATGAATCCCAACACTTTAAAAGAGTGGTCATTGTTTGTTTCTTTATATGGTTTGCAACTTAAAAAATAAAATAAATTTATATACATAAATAATAATAATAATAATAATAATTATTATTATTATTATTATTATTATTGTCTGATAATTTGATTTGAATAAACTACCATGCTAAGATAATGAATTGAATGATTTTCACTAACGGTGAAATATATATAATGTATCAAACAAAAACAATTTTCCCGTTAGAATTATCGACAAGTCTAACAATCCAAGTATATATAATTAAGATTAATGGTGATGATTTAAAAATTAAAACCTATCCATTTATAAGGAGATATATGTGTTCTGTGTGGACCACTTTTTGTGATATCAAAATCACATCATTAAAATGTTGAAGAATGAAAAAATTGGTTGGAGAAGAATGATTGCAATTGAAACCCCATTAATTGCTTGAAGATGAAGCACCAGTCGACACCACAAATGGAAAATAGTTATTCCTCTTTTTGCCTCTTTTTCTTTTCATTGCTAAGTTTGAGTCTACAACCATAGCTTTCATTCAGTTAGAGTCTACGCCAGCTGGTAAATTTAATTTTTTATTTTTGCTTTTTTCAAAACAAAATAAGGGAAAAAAATTAAAAAGAATTAATATCAAGACAATTGAAATGTAGATATGAAAATGAAAATAATATTTCGTAAATTTATTTTATTAAAACATAAAATAAATATCTCATTTTATCGTGTTTTCATTTGTTTCATTGTTTTTTTAAATCAAATTTTATAAAATGGATCTAAATTCATATTCTTTTTTTAATAAAAAATAATAAGACTAGAGTCACTTCAAACTTTTTTGTAAATAGATTGTTAAAAAAACAAACACAATATATAATATTTAAGATGAGCGTACTTGTAATTTACTTATTGTCATAATTAATTAAAATATAAGCTTCGCATACTTCTTTGTTTCCATCAATAATAAAATATAAGCTTGACAAGTTTCCTTGTTTTAAAAATTAAAATTTAGAAAATGAAAGAAAAAAATAGTGATGAAATTATTGTGAAGTACATAAGAGAAGTCATTTTATATAGTAAAAAAAGTGTGACAAATATTATTATTACAACTTTTATATTATGATCCATTATGAAAACAGTCGCTGTTTATTATAATTTTATATTATACTATTTTTATACTGAAGTATGTATGAAATATTTGTAATATTGCTATATTCTTATTAAATTAATTGGTAGAAATATATGTGACATATATTTATATAGAATATTATACAATTATATAAATATTATCTATATTTGTAACTATCTAGAAAATATTTCTTAGATTACTAAAATTGGTATTTAAAATTTTATAACAAGGGTCTTTATTCATTTAACCTCTACGAAGTAAGCCATAATGTAAGATAACTATTTGAGGCGTTTTTCTTAAGTGTTTAAAATTCTAATAGAAAATTACGATATATTAAAATAATATTTAATTATTATCATTTATAATTTTAACCGTATGAGATATATATATATATATATATATATATATATATATATATATATTGGTTGCAAATAGTTATGATATCACATTTTTAAACATTTTGCAACAAATACTTCCAATTATTTTTTGTGACAATTCTTTTATCTTGTCGCGTCGTAATATTAATATACTCCCTAGAACATGGAAAATGATATTTGACAATCCAAATTCATATAATTTCTATAAACAACTCTCTTTTAATATTATAATAATAATTTTGCTTTATTTTTATTTTTATTAAATCATTTTATAGATTATTATATTAATAAAAATGAGTTGTATGATTGATCAAAATATCACCACTCCTATAATATTCACGGAGTTAAAGGAATGGTATGTCATATATTTATTTGTAGTTGATAAATGTACCACTTACAGTTATAGTAATATTGGTGAAACATCATTTATTGTAGAACACATTATAGCATTTATAACTACACTACTAATGACAATTTAAATGGTCTTTAAAGTTAATTTTCCAATTTCCACTTTAAAAATTCATTAGCTTTTTATTATTGCTGGTAAAAACTTCTTTTGCTAAAAAATAAATAATCTGAAACAAAAGATTAATTCTTCTATACATCAAGTTGTATTTGAAGAACTAAATTGTCCTACACGAGTTTAGGGAGTAATTATTTAAACATGTTATGTATGTAGGTAGATGTTCAGACATAGATTAAAAATGATTATTTATTTCAAACCCCTTTTTTTAAAATTTAATATAGTTTTTTTTTATTAAGAACTTTTAAAAAACATTTTAGTTTTTGAAGCAGAAAAGTGTCACAAAGTGTGCACTAGTATTTTATTTTCGTTGCATACCGATTGGTAGTCAGCAATTTTTATTCATGTAATATAATGAGACGTGTTAAAAACGATAACAAGAGGTACTTGTAGGTTACATGTGTTAATCTTAGGAACGTAGCAGTTTTTTATTTACCTGTAAATATAATTTTTGAATTAGAATAAGAAATTATTTGATCTCATTGCTTTGTGACTCTTTAAAACACTCACTGCAACGCGGTAAAATGTGCATAATTTCATCACTCCGGTTTTTTTTTTCGTGGAATGTCTACTGGTTGTTTTTCTTTCATTTCTTCATTTATTTAACCTTGCACGTACGGCATTTTATCATACCTATACCTTTAGGATGATTTTGATTCAAATTCTCAAATTGTTCAAAGGCTTCCATTTTTATTATTCTTTGATGAAATTATACATACAAAATTATGACAAGACTAGTGGTACAAATTTGTTAGAATCGAGCGTTTATTAGTAGATCAAAAGTTATAGCCATTAATTATAGTGTAACTCTTTTTACTTAAGATTAACAGTCTAAGCGTCATGATTTGATTGTGACTCGGTCCACCTGATCTTCGCTACGGGATAATTGATATTACCTGCAACAATCTCCCCCCTCACCAATTGTTCTATAAGAAATTTCACTATTGGATTGTGACTCGACCTATCTTGCCTTCACTATGGGACAATTGTGCAGTCGAACTCGTGATTTTGACTCTGATACCAATTATTAGAATGAAACACTTATCATTAGGCTAAAACCTATAGTCATTAATTAGAACACAACTCTTTTTACTTAAAAATAACAACCTAAGTGTCACGATTCGTTTGTGACTCGACCCAACTAACTTCCGTGATGAGACAATTAATGTTACATGCAGTAAACTTTATCAGGTGCTATAATTTAAACTACTATAAACAAACTTTATCAGGTGGTATAATTTAAACTAGAAACTGTATTCGTCTAGAAGTGAATATATAGTGATTTGGCATGACAAATGAAAGTGAGAATAAAAAACAAAGGAACAATGGAGAATAACAAGAGTTCAAATTCTAAGGATAATAATAGGAATACTTAATGACTTTTAAAAATTACGACACAGAAAGTTGAGCAAATTGAATAACTGAAACTTTAAAAGAATATTCAAAATAATCTATGTTGTTACCTCTATGCCAAAAATATTTTCTAACTCGAGTTATAGAGTCTTTATCGAAGATGTTGGCTTCTTTGTTGTATTGTACTAGCAATTAGCAGATACGCAGGTAATGTTAACATTGTAGTTATAAGAATGGGGTCCCCTAAAGTTTCAAGTTTTAAATCCACCAATGGAATGCATTAAATTGATTTTGAAAGATAAAATGATGATTTGAGAAATTAAACAATTGAAAGAATGATATTGAAGCAGTTGTTTTCAGAACTGTAGACGAGCTTAATCCGTACTAGCTAAGTGTAACTAGTAAGACCTCTTAAGCAAATGGCAGAGGGCTAAGTAAGGGGAATTTTGCAGTGGGATCAGTGGTCAAACACCCCGGTTAGGGATCAAATTCAAATGGATCATCATTTGGGAAAGGCAAGTCCAAATTAATCTTCAACTCTCCATTGTGTCCTTGTAGGACACAGCCTAAGTTGTCCATATTACGTAGTACTATACGTTTAAAAATGACTAAAAAAGGAAGCCCCACCAGTGGGAATCAAATCACAGGCCATTTCCCCGCGCATGAACGAATGAAGTTCACGGGAGTGCTTCACTGATCACATGCCAAGTGGTCGATGGCTTTCTGTAAAGTAAAAGTGGAAAACCACCGTGGTTTCGAATAAACTAACAACGGAAATTTTGCTATTGGGAATTGAAAAGCCTATCACATTTTACGTCCATTCACTTGTACAGCCAGCTACTAAAGACAACTTCGTCGGTTCACATGTCTGCTTCCCTCAAAACATCAAAACTAGCGACAAATATTCTTGAATCTCGGGCATAAAGTACACCAACCTTTAACCCCTATTTATAACCGCATCGCAAATTACTCCCATTCACACACACTTATTACAGTTGTAATTGAGGAATAGTATTGGAAGATGAAGTCCTCTAGATCTTCAACTATTACTCTTTTTCTTATCATCAATTTGCTTTTCTTTGCAATGGCAAGTGGCTGCTTCACCTGTACTCAGCCAAAGCCTAACCCTAACCCTTACCCTTACCCTAACCCAAGTCCTGCCGTGAAGAGCTGTCCCAGGGACGCACTTAAGCTGGGTGTCTGCGCCAACGTGCTTAATGGACCAATTGGCGCGGTGGTGGGGTCACCACCGGACCACCCATGTTGCTCGGTGCTAGAAGGGCTTCTTGATCTTGAAGTTGCGGTTTGCCTCTGCACCGCCATCAAAGCTAACATACTTGGCATTAACCTTAACATCCCCATTTCACTTAGCTTGATCCTTAATGCCTGCGAGAAGTCGCCACCCTCTGACTTCCTGTGCAACTAGACGTAGTTAGGCACGTCATTTTCAATTCATCATGCTGCTTCTATCTATGTGTTTGTCTATCTGTTTTTTTATTTGTCATTGTGTTGTTTCCACCGTGCTAACTCATTTATTGAGCATGCAGTTGTACTCGTAAGTTGTAACTGTAATTTAACTTCTGCTGTTGGAATGACTTTCTAATTTTGAGATTTCATGAATTGTCCTGTGTTGTGTTAAGGCTATGTATGTTTGGATACTCACCCCGCTCCTCCATGCTTGCTTTGGAGAGTACATTCAAATTTGTGATACATTTGATTACTCTCAAAATTACATTTGTATAGTTGTATTTTGTGCAAAACTAAGTTTTAATAAAATTAAGACTTGAGTTGCATTTGCAAATTTAGTTTTCAAAATCAAAGCTACTCCTTAAGTTTATCAGCTTTAATCCAAACATGTTTAAGTGTTGAAGTATGAATTCTCTTTTATAATAGCTATTGCTACTATAAACTTTTTTTTTTTCGCTTTTCCCAATAACTAAAATATACTCTTAATAGGAAAAATAAATGGTTTTCATGTATTCAAGTTTTACGGTCTGGTGAAAACCATAGCCATTTTTAGAAATAAAATAAAATAAAAAAATACACTACAAGTAAAACTTAATTTGTAGCTTCGACTTAATTTGTGACATTAAATATTCAGTAACCAACTCAAAGGTGTCAAAACGAAGCTTAAGGTTGTAACAAAAAAAAAACAAAAAAACAGACAACCCAAAAAACACAATTGTTATAGTAACAGTTTTTCTCTCCATTTCGTTATTGAAATTAGCAACTTATTGAAGGTTCTCTTGTTTTTTTTTTGTAAGCATTTCCTATAGTGAGCATGTTTTTTGTCTTCATTGATTCCCCACCTAACTTTGATACTTAATTCTCATCTTAGTCTCATCGCCCATGCATTCACTACAAGAAAAATAAATTAGTGTCCAGTAAAAGTCGACTCTAAGCACGGAAAGGGACGGTAATCACATTACCATTGACCAAGAGATACTCTCATAATCAATCATTGCAGCTAAAGTCGATACTTGCGTGTTGGCCAAAAAATCAATGTTTTACTTTAGTCAAGTTGACGTTAAAGTCAGTGTGTATATAATTTTTTTTGTTAAGAATATTTTTAAAATTAATTATTTTCTTCATAAATTATGCATTTAATATATTTTAATTAGCATAATTTAATTTTTTTAATTTGTTAAATTTTGTATAATTTTAGTATATATATATATATATATATATATATATACTTTACATATTTTTTATTTTTAGGAGAAATATAATTTGAAATGTGTCAAATTGATGAAAATAAATATCTAAATTAATGCAGTTGAACCTCACTTTTCTTAAAAATCCATATTTGTTTGTGCAGTCTAAATTTTGAATGAAGCAAATTAACTAATATAATAATTCAATTTAACTAAATTAAAGGTGAGCGAGAATTAATTTATCTTGTTTAGTCTCTTATAAATAGAAGTATAATAAGAGCATAATCAAAATCTATTATTTTAGGACGAATTGTTATTTTATCTTGTTTCAATTTTTTATTTTGTTCTCACCTTTTAGTAAGACGAACTCATCTACTGCTATTGTAATTTTGATTTGTTTCTTTTATTTAATTTATAATTTTTATTAACTTTTCCAGTTTATATCGTTCTATTTATTTTATTTATTTATTGCTCAGTTTAATATATGTTATTTAATTATTATTTTTTTTATTTTATTCCAGATACTGTTTAATTTTCATTTTCAATTAATTTCTTTTCCAATTCTAATTACAATTTTAGTATTTTGACGCAATTTCACCCACTTTCAAATTTTAATTTTCGAATCTATTTTTCTCATTGTTTGATTTTGTTTTATTACTTAGTTATGCATGCATTTCTTAATTTAATTTTAGGTTTATCATTTTTAGAAAAAATTAAATTTAATTACTGTATTATTTTATTTTAAAGTAATTTTTTATTTTGTACTTTATTTTGACAACTTTCGAATTTAATTAAAAACACTTTGTTTTAATTTTATAAATTTTAGTTATTTAAATTTTACTTCAATTTAATTTTAATTATCATTATTATTTTACTGCAATTTGATTTTAATTTTTATTATTCTACGTCAATTTATTTTTCATTCTTTAATTCATTCTCTTATTTATTGGTTTTAGAGAAAATGACATGTGATAATAGATACATTTATATAATTATAAAATTTGACATATATTAACTATACTACATTAATTTAACAATCTATTTATAATTTTTTTTATCAATCAAAATATTCCTCACATTGCTAACTACGTACCTAAAGATATCATTCTCATTTTGTGTAACTTTTTTTAACTCCTAAACCAATTTTTTGTTGAAATTTAGTACCAATGACCAACAACATGGAAGAGCAACAGAGAAGCATAAAGAGATCAACATCAATCATGGAAAGACTTGTTTTCCCCCTTCACCAAATTGTGTAAGAAACACCCAACCCCTCTTAAGCAACAACAGAAAGAAAGGGAGCTCGTCAATTAAAGGTTGCATATAGCCCTAAAGGAAATAAATACACAAACACAGCTTGAAAGATTGAATTAGGAAGAGGTCGTGTATTGTCAACCGAGACATCATACATTTTATATCAACGGATTTAATATACATTGTAGGGGTTATCATCTCTACTGTTTAATGGAATTAAAAAACCTTACAACATTTTGGAACAATATATACGTCCAATAATTAGAAAACCATCTCTTTAGGATAAAGGAGAAGTCACATGTCACATGCATATACCAATATTACTGTATAAAGATGCTCTAAAGAAGTGAAGAATAAAGTATTAGTTTTGTTATTCACGTGTTATAATTTGTTTCGACGTTTAATAATAAGTTTTGGAATGGTTATTTCCTCCGGTACATGTACTCACCGTCAATTATACGGGCAAAGGTTTTACATGAATACCACGGACTTTTTACAGTTTTATCATTACCCTACACTCTAACACTTGTATGTTTTTATAGGTTGTCTCGGAGAAAGATTCTTTCAGATGGATGTTAAGTGTCATGCAAGTTGGCATAGAAAAATTCTTAGTTGCCATGAAACAAGCATAAGTGACAAATCTGACGATAGAAAATGGAAAAAGTTTAAGTTTGGCAGATGATTCAGGGGAAAGTTGATTGTCCAAATCTAGGGCTACAAAATTGTGATTATTTGCCACACTGTTTGGGCCTTGAATTGGGTCTTTTTGCTTTCTGTGTCACTTGTTTTTCTTCATTTTCGGGACAAAGAAGAAGGGAACTTATGTACTAAGTGTTTTGCCTTTTTGAAAAGTTGGATCAAATAAAATTTTAGGAAAATATAGAATGAAAACTTCATTTAACAAATCTTCAAAAATTAAAATTTAAAATAAATCCATGAGCTTTCTCTTTTCTTTTTTCTTTTTTTTTGAATTTTAAAACTTAAGAATAAATTACAACTAAAATAATTTTGAATTATGTAACTATTAATTAAGTTTAAATAGGACATAATTACATTGGCTTAATTTAAAGATCATATCAAACAATATCCTAGAGATCATAAATTTCTCGAATCCGCATAATGTTCAACCCGTGAAAACAAACATGTGAACCCACAGCACCTTGACATTAAATCTAGCGGTACTATTTTGGAGGTTCTATGTTTACCTCAAGGAGTTTGGACATCTCTCTGTTTAAGCATGTTTGGATTGGAGGGCGAAAAAGAAGAGAAAGTAGGTTGTTTGGATTGGAGAGAGGAAAAAGAAAAGAATGAGAGGAGAAATTAGAAAAAAATGAATAAAAAGGATAATAAAATATGAGATTGATGTGATTAAATAAAAAATTAAAATAATAATATAAAATATATAATGATTAGAATATTCTTTTTTATATATAAAAGATAAAATAAATATAAATTAGAATATGATATAATTTAATATAAAGTAATTACTTTATATTATACATAAAAATTTGGGATATAACAATTTTATTATATAAAAAAAATTAATATTTTTTATATATTTTTTAAAAAATTGGATTAGAAAAATAGAGGATGGAAAGTAAAAATAAATTAGGAATATTTATAATTAATTTGATTGATTTGAAATAATAAGTAAATATATTAATAAAATAATTTATTAAAATATTAAAATATTCTTATTTTAAATTTATAAAATGAAAATAAATTATGTTATAAAAATAATTAATTTTAAAGTAATTAATTTTTAATTTTTTTTTTAAATTTAATTATAAATTATGTATAAAAATTTATTTTAAGTACTAATTAAAAAAATAAAATATTAAAAAAATAAAATATAAAAAAATATTTATAATAAAAAATAAATCAATAACATTATAAAAAATATTTTTATATTTAGATATCATTTTATTTTTATAATAATAAAAAATTATAAAATCATGTATAATTATCAATATATATTATAACATTAACTTTATATATATATATATATATATATATATATATATATATATATATATAAAATAATATTTTTTAATGTAATAAATTATTGATGGGTATATAATGGATTGTACAAATTCATTTATTCGATTAGGTGGTTTTCAAAAGATTTATGATCCTAATATAATTTAATAATAAAACACATGATTATATATATATATATATATATATATATATATATATATATATATATATATTAGTATTATTATTATAAATATTATTGTTTAAAATATTAAATTAGTGTATAAGAATCTTGAATTCTTATACGTAATGAATAAGAAAATAAAATCAATGACAAGACAAGAAAAAAATTAACTTGATTACACTTTATTTGGTTGGTTTAAAATTATGCTAAGTTCAATAAACTCTAAAGCATATACACTCATGGCAGTGTCATTTGTAAGAGATTAGATAATATGACTAGTAGGTGTGAGCTTTGACTTCATGGGCCTTAGTGGACAGACACAGACATAGTCCGAAGATACATGTAGGTAGGTCCAAT